ATGCTGTTTCTTAATATCAGACCAAAGTGCAGAGCAATTAAATGAGAAGCCAAGTCTTCTTTTGGCTGTCTTTTTACTTCTGGAGAACAGACTATGTTCCTTTGAAATGAACAATTTACACTCGAGGCTCTTATTTATTTTTCTCTGATAAAGGGAGGAAATGGGCCTTGTAAGGTAAGGTAACCGTGCAGTGGAGGCCAGAATGGGCATGAGAAATACCAGTACTTACAGTTAGGCTGCTTTGCACCTACCCAGCTTCTAGAACCACTTCCAGTTTCATAACTCAGCTGTGAAAAACACCCGTAGGCATTCTTATAGAGGGAGGAAATGGGCCATTTAGCCAGAAGTTCAAGACTGGGAAACCCGAAAGGAGTAAAGTGCAGGCTGTACCTGGAGATGAAGTGCATGTTATGGAGGGAGAACAGGTCTCATGCTGGGCACCGGAAGGCACATTTAAGAAATCTCAAATCAAAATAGTGTCATCATGAGAGTTGCTAGTGATTTGCAATTCATCAAGCTGTAGCCAAACACACGTCCAGAATGTTCTACCTGTGTGTGCAAACACAATGTGTTTGCTGGGGCTCGAGGGTCGAGAGTAACTTGCAAGCCCCAAGCTTTAATTTTTCCATCTTAGCCCCCACTGACAATCTTCTTGTGGTCAAACGATGCATTGGACCAATCCTTTGTGTCCCTCTCAAACAGTGGTCGGCAAACTCATGAGTCAACAGAGCCAAAAATCAACAATACAACGATTGAAATTTCTTTTGAGAGCCGAAGTTTTAAAACTTAAACTTCTTCTAAGGCCCCTTCTTTAAAATAGACTGGCCCAGGCTGTGGTATTTTGTGGAAGAGCCACACTTAAGGGGCCAAAGAGCCGCATGTGGCTTGAGAGCTGCAGTTTGCCAACCACGGCTCTCGAATGTTTAAACAGGTGCCACATTCAGTATCCCATAGCTTGATGGTATGATCTATCTGATGATTCCCTAACAACCAGCCGGTCCCTGTACTGGAGACAGGCCATGCCTTGCTTGAGCCCATTTAAAGTACAAACAAATCCACAGGTACTCCTGCTCCAGACCTTGGTGCTTCTGTCACTAGAGGCAGATACAGTGTATTATCATCAAAGTTTGCTACATTGACAGCAGTGCAGTGGGCAACCAGGAGTAGAGGGAAGTCAGTTTGGCGGAGCCATGTCCCACACAGCGTTGGAGCTGTCCTTGGAACAGGTCACCACCAGCCCATTGCTGAAGCGTAAGTGCAGTCCAGCCTTATGGTGGATCAGCGGGTTCAGAACTTCACCCATGTTGTTATCCCAGACCTTCACTGCAGAGTCTGCAGAGCTAATCACAATGATACGTATCATCCTGGAGACAGGACAGAGCCCGTGTGCACCATTAACTCTTTCAAACATCCACGCTTTGGTTTTATCCCAGATCTTTTTTCTTTTTTTTTAAATATATTTTTTATTGATTTTATACAGAGAGGAAGGGTGAGAGAGAGAGAGTTAGAAACATCCGATGAGAGAGAGTCATCGATCAGCTGCCTCTTGCACACCCCCTACTGGGGATATGCCCGCAACCAAGGTACATGCCCTTGACCGGAATCGAACCTGGGACCCTTCAGTCCCCAAGCTGACGCTCTATCCATTGAGCCAAACCGGTCCCGGCTTATCCCAGATCTTAATAGAATTATCTCATGGGCCATTGATAATTTTTTTTCATCATCATAGTGTGAATAGTAGACACCTCCACTATTTTCATAGGGGCACTGAATCCTCTGCAAGTTGTGAGGTTCACACTAGCAGTTAGAATCTGTCGTCTGTAAAGTGAATTGGGAGAGCTACCTGTGGGTCTATTTTAATTTTAATTAATTAATTAATTAATCTTCAGCTAAGGATATGTTTATCAATTTTAGAGAGAGAGAGAGAGAGCAAGAAAGAGAGAAAGAGAAACATCCATCAGTTGCCTGTCGTATGCGCCCTGACTGGGGATCAAACCCACAACCTACTCTGTTTCCTCCAAAATAAGACAGTGTCTTATATTAATTTTTTCTCCCAAAGTTGCGCTAGGTCTTATTTTCGGAGGGTGTCTTATTTTTGGGGAAACACGGTAGGTATATGCCCTGACTGGGAATTGAACCCGCAGCCTTTTGGTGTATGGGATGATGCTCCAACCTACTGAGCCACCTGGCCAGGGCTGTGGGTCTATATTTAAACAGGCACTGATTCCACCCTCTTCTATCTGAAAGTCACTTCCAGGGAGGGTCAGTGCCCACCATTCATTCAATCAGCTTCTTCCAAAGCATCTCTTGGGAGATCCCTGGCTGCTGTTCTTTGCACACCAGCTCTGCCACGTACAGAGGCCTGGCATCCAGGTAGGAAAGAATGTTTCCTGCTTTGTGATCTAAGCTTTGCTCTGGTGAAGTGGTAATGAAGTCCCCGCACAGCATGGGCTTCAGGTACAAGTGAGTGTGTCCATGTTGTTATGACCTTTGGGAAACAAGGTGCTCCACAACTTCCGCTTGATCTGACTCAGACCACAGGTCAGAGTTTAATACACAGGGTTTTATTCCTTTTGATAGTTTCTTTCTGATGGCCTCTTTTTGGAGATGATCATAGGTGACATCTCATTACTTATCTAGAAATTATTTTGTACTCCAGATCCACCAATCCAATGAACAGGGGTATCCCTTTCAGACTAGTCTGAGACATGAGAGCTGTCAAGCAGTTCCCAAGATTCTTTCCATTTACTGTATCCAGCTTTCTCCCACAAATCCCAGACATGCACCTCAATAACTGTTGAAAGCAATCCCTAACATCAAGCATATAGAGAATTTTCATAAGAATTTATTTGAGCCAAACTGACTATTGCTAGAAAGTCAGATGCTTTGGAGAAGAACAGTTTTGTCGTTTCTTTTATGTATTTGAAACTAAGTAGAGAACATAAGGAAGATTACATGAAGGTGTGAGAAAGCCAGGTGGGGTTGGATTATAGGATAGTTAAGATTATGTTCTATCTTGAATTACAGGACAGTTAAAATTCTGTTCTCTCTCAAAGGTTAACACCTGGCATTTCCAAGGTGTGTTAACCTACGTGCACAAGAACAATGGACAGGATTGTTTAATAAGCTTTCACTAAAGAAGTTATAGGCCTGAGGTGTGACTACCCACCACCACTTGCCCAGTTAGGGATTTATGATTTCTCACAGACTTTCATCCACACCATTGTTATTTTCTTGCTCAGATGCTTCCAGTTTTGGCCTGTAAGAGCTCAGCCTTTGAGTTTAAATGGCTTGTACATGTAAATGGCTATTTCTAGCCCACCTTTGCCCCCAACCAAAGAACCATTGCTTCTTTAGGGTCTGGGTAATGATTATTCAGAACCCACGTAAAAGAGCTGTAATCAGGAGAGTGAATACCAGAGGCCCAAGGAAGGTAGGACGATGTGGGAAAAATAGTCAGCTCTCAGGAGCTCTGCAGGAGTGAAAGGAGTGGCAATTTTCAACCTCTCCACTGGTGCTGCCCCAGAGAAACCCAAGGGAGTAGGATCGTGTGCCTGCGGCCACAGCATGCCCACTCTGAGGTGTCTCCAGGATTACCAGATGGATTTAGAAACATCAGAATGCTATTTTGGCACCTTTGGCCGGCTGAATGGAAACTGCAGCTTTTCTTCCTGATGATAAAGTGTTGAGTAAATATTTATGGAGTGACACCTTTTGTTTCTCCTCCCCACCCCCTGAGGGTGGTGCGAAATTTGTGTGTGTAAAGTTTCTCTAGGAATGGTACTTATCATCCATGCAGATTTACCTTTGTAAGAAATATATTTTTATTAATATCAGAGAAGAAGGGAGAGATAGAGAGAGAGAGAAATATCAATCATGAGAGAGAATCATTGATTGGCTGCCTCCTGTATGCCCCCTATGGGGCTCAAACCCACAACCCGCTCATGTGCCCTGACCAGAATCGAACCGTGACCTCCTGGCTCATAGGTTGATGCTCAACCCCTGAGCCATACCAGCCAGGCCCGATTTGCCTTTTGTTATAGCTTGTCTTCCTTACTAGATTTTTTTTTTCTTTTATTGTTATGGAAAGTTTCAAGCATTTACAAAAGTAGAGAGAAAAAGCAAATGAGCCTTATCACTTAGCTTTAGTATTTCTCAATGTTTTGCCAATCTTATTTAATTTATTCTCCCATTTTTGAGGTGGGGCTGGCCTATTTGAAAACAGATCACAGACATTAAAGTCTAAGAAAGGATTGAAATAAACTCTGAGTGTAAGGACTTTACCTCAGGTCCTTTGTATGCCCGGCACTATAGCTGAAAATAGCAGGTGCTCAGAAAAGACTGGTTGAATTGAGAAGAGGAAACACAAAATTATGAAAACATTTTTGAACTAACTCTAGGGCAAACTTCTAGAAAGGAGAAGGGTGGCAAGTCTTGCCCTAAAATAACTTCTTTCATGTTGCCTGAATTTGTTTTCTCCAGCCACGATGCCTCTTTTCCTTCAAGAGAACCTTGATTGAAATAGAAAACTCTCTTCAGAGAGAGTTCAGGGTCTCCCAGTTTTTAAAATTTTATTATAAGTAAGTCTATTCTGATCACATTTTCCCCAAACACCAATCAGAAGTTATCTGCCCTAAAAAGAACTTTGGTTAAAAAAATCATCTTTTTTTAAATTTATTATAAGAATAACATATACTAATTGAAAGAAAAATAGGCAGTTATAGAGAAATAGAAAGTGAAAATCATCTGTATTTCAGTATGTAACTCCAGAGATAACATTATCTTTACTAGCACTCTAGTAAAATTTGAGCACGAATCACATTGATAATCAGTCAATAATTTATAGCATGTACCAGGTGTGTCTGTGTATATACTCTCATTAAATTCTTACAGCAGCTATTGTAAATTTCTTTTTTTTAATCATTTTTTAGCTGGGGAAACCTGCCTAAAGGAATTGTCTTCAGTTACTTGGCCGATAAATAGGCTGGGCAGGAGAGCTCTCTTGAAAGACAGCTGTGTTAGAGACTATTCGCACCTTGGATATTCATTCACAGGACCACAAATACCTCATACGTGAGCTTCCTTCGTGCTGACTCCCTGTATAGTCAGTTTTGAGGAGAGCACTAAGACTAGAAAAAGTGAGAAGTGATTATTTTTAACTGGATTCAACACAGTCTCAATAAGCAGGATCAGCAATGAAGAGCTAATTATTAACTAACTAGAGGCCCGATGCACAAAATTCGTGCAAGAGTAGGCCTTCCTTCCCCTGTTTGCTGGCAACTGCTTCCCTTTGGCACCCAGGATCCAGGCTTCCCTCTGGCCTCTGGCACCTGGGACCCAGGCTTCCCTCACAGCCCTGGTTTCGTCTGGAAAGTCATCTGGTCTAATTAGCATATTACACTTTTATTATTTTAGGTCATAAGGATGGCCCTTGCTTTTATAATAAATTTCTTACCTTTTAACAAATTAAGCTGCAGTTCAGCAGCAGCAGTCTATGCCTGTTCCTAGCTCACTACTTGGGTAGGTTTTTAACTCTCTCTAAAAGATACTCCCTCCTTCTATAGAATGTGTGTGTGTGTGTGTATGTGTGCACACTGTAGTTCTGTGATCACATGTCCCTTCAGGCAGGTGAGTGTCCCTGTTGGGGACCATCCTTCCACAAACAGCTCTTAACAAAACAGTCTAGATTTTCCAAGATTTAGATTTCAATCAAAAGCTATTGGCAAGCCTAGCATTTGTGCTTCCTGCCATTAAGTCCACAAGAGGTTGTTTGATTGGCCCCAGGAATCTGCAGACTTAACCGGAGGGAAGAGAAGAGACCTCAGGAAGCCGTTGAACAAACAGGCCCAAGGAAAGGATGGAAGGATATGGGAGAGAGATAGGAGGCTGCTCAAGAAAACTGCATATGGCCAGGGTTTGTGTTGGGGGCACCCAGGCCACAACAAAAGAGATTGAAATATCCATGTGTGCCCTAACCTGTTTGGCTCAGTGGATAGAGCATCAGCCTGTGGACTGAAAGGTCCCAGGTTCAATTCTGGTCAAGGGCATGTACCTTGGTTGTGGGCACATCTGCAGTAGAGGGTGTGCAGGAGGCAGCTGATCCATGTTTCTCTCTCATTGATGTTTCTAACTCTCTATCCCTCTCCCTTCCTCTCTGTAAAAAATCAATAATATATATATATATATATATATATATATATATATATATATATATATATATATATATATATGAAGTGTCCATGTGAAGGATATGGCAGAAGCCAAGGCTTTGGGGCTGACCACGTGGGCTCAGATCCCAGCTTCACCACTTACTACTTGTGTGTCTTGGGCAAGGTCTTTAATCTCTCTAAACCTTCATTTTTCTCATCTATAAAATTAGGAGACATAATTCTTAGCTCATAAAGTTGAGATGAGAATTAAATAAGGTGATAAAGTGATTTAACCACATTACAAGGCACAGAGAAAATGCATAAATAAGCCACTCTTATTAGCTGTTATTACTGTTAATTTCTTAGGTACCTTCAAGACTAAACACAGGTCATACTGTTTAATTGCTTGCTGGGTCAAAACCTCTCTTTTGTGGTTTGACCCAAGAACCTAACCTCCATCTATTACGGTGTATCTAGAGAGAAATGCTTTCTAGGCTTTCCTTAAACTAGCCTACAGCTACATTTTGAAATGCTACCCTTAGTAAGTATGAGGCCCTTTTGAAAGTTGCTAAGACTTTGTTTTTATTTTTCATGGTAAATTACCACATCCCCCATCTCATTTAAAAGCAATTTTGTTTTCAGTAGAAAAAGACAGAAGTGGATCATACAAAATTTGGAAAAGGAAAGAGAAAAATTTGGCTAATTACCCCTTGGCTAATCCCATACTCCTGATACAATTATTGCTAGCTTTTGACTATATTTTTTTTCTAGAGTTTTCTCATCTCTATATATTAGTGGTAACCATACACACATAGGGAGCTTATTTTCTCTGTTTCTTTTTTTGTTGCTTAAGATTTAATCATAAGTGTTTCTGTGTTATCACTTGGTATAGAAAATATTTTGGTCTTCATTCTATTCCTGTAATTGAGGATATGTTTGGCTATAGAGATTATTACGCCCTGGCTTTAGCATTTCTGCATTCTTCTGTTAACATGTTTAGAATTTGAGGAGAGGCGTGGTCTTGGCAATGCAGGGAGGATGCGAGGTATTGCTACTCACCACCTCGCCTTCATCACCTTAGTGTGCTCGCCATGGTCCAGCCGGGCCCTCAGCTATGTGGCCTCAGAGATGAAGTCATACTTAGGTGTGAAATCAGCATGGCAGTTTATCAAATGACATGAAAAACATAGGAAGGTGGTTCTGCCAGCCCCCAGTGTGTCTGCCTGTTGGCCATCCCTAACCTAGAGTTACTTAGAGTAAAGCATAGAACAGTATCAACAGCAATTGTCACCAGTGGGTGCCTCCCGTACACCAGGAGGTGGGCTAACTCATGATGTGTGAATATAGTAGATTATCCAGTCCCATAGTAACCTCTCTGGGTAGGTACTCTATTTATCCCTATTCTTATAGATCAGAAGACAGGTTTCAGGGCCAATATGTGGTGGAGCTGTAGTTTTTGTCTGAATCAAAGCCCCTGCCCGTTACCTGTTTTACCTGTTATTCTTGCCAATGATTGACCTGCGTTGGCCTTCTCTGATGTGTCTTGCCCCCTTCCCCACCCGTTGGGATGTGCCCATGCAGTGCCTCATTGTGAAAACCCTTGTTTTTTCATCCCTGTTTTTGAGGAACACATTTTTCTAGCTCTCACAGGGTAGAGCTTCTGTCTTATTCTCCGTATCAAGACATCACAGGTTGTTAACCTTCTCTTAGAGCTGTGCCAGGAAGAGGACCCTTAAGGCTGTGTTTTGGGCTGTGCCAGCTCAATGCTGAGGAGGCATTTCCAGTCTCTGCTTTCTCCTCCCCCAATATCTGCACCTGGCTTTCTTCCTGGGTGACAGGTGGCCTGGGCGATGGCCCAGAGAGAACTCCTGTGATGCATAGATGCCTGGGACCTTCTGCCTCGAAAGCCTCCGAGCTTCTGATCTCAGAACCCTCCCTGGAGAACTCCCATTATTGCCGGTCAGGTTCCCTGGGGATAGGTTTTCAGTTCCTGTTGACGTGTGACGTGAGTCATCGCAGGGTAGGATTTCCACCTGAAACATGTCTTTGTGCTTGCCTTCCAGAGATTGTTGGAGCAGAACCACTGAGCCCAAGCAGACACTGCATCTTCAGCTGTCACTGAGCTGAGCGTGCACTCCAGTTGGAAAAGCTGAGCTGGAAGCTTCCTGCTGGCGGTGAGGTGGCGTGACCCATCTGCAAGCATAAGACATGGGCTGCCACGTGACTCCCTTCCTTTCCTACAAACTCCGATTGCTCTTGCTTTTCACTTTGTGCCTGACGGTGGTGGGGTGGGCCACCAGCAACTACTTTGTGAGTGCCATTCAGGAGATTCCTAAAGCGAAGGATTTCATTACTACTTTCAAAAAGGCCGTGGTTTTGGGGAAGAAAGAAATTCTGGCTGACGAAGCCTCTGTGAAAAGAGCAGACCTAGACAACTGCCCTTCCGTCTCTCCACACCTCAGTGAGTAGTTGCTTTTCTTTCTTTCTTTCTTTCTTTCTTTCTTTCTTTCTTTCTTTCTTCTTTCTTTCTTTCTTTCTTCTTTCTTTCTTCTCCTTCCTTCCTTCCTTCCTTCCTTCCTTCCTTCCTTCCTTCCTTCCTTCCTTCCTTCCTTCCTTCCTTCCTTCCTTCTCTTCTTTCTTTCTTTCTTTCTTTCTTTCTTTCTTTCTTTCTTTCTTTCTTTCTTTCTTTTTTTCACAAGTGCTACATAATTTTTTTTTATTAGATACATATACAGAAAAGTACGAAGACCAGAACAACTACGTTTCACAAAATGAACATACCTGTGTAGCCGGTATGTAAATTATGAAACGGAATCTTCATGGAACCCTAGGCGTCCCCATGCTTTCAGTCACGACCCTTACTTCAAGATTGTGACTCCACCACAGAGTCCCCTGCTTTTGAACTCTGCATCCTTGGACACATGCACTGTGTACTCCTTTGTGTCTGAACTTCCGTTAGTCAACGCTATGTTTGAGAGCTGTGTCCATATGGCAGATGTAGACTCTTCCACTATAGGCACACACCTGCTTTTATAATCTAGCCGCAAACGTCAACAGGATTTATTTATTTAGCTCACACGTCTGTGGCGTCAGTTGGTCTAGCCCAGTGGTCGGCAAACTCATTATCAACAGAGCCAAAAATCAGTGGTACAATGATTGAAATTTCTTTTGAGAGCCAAATTTTTTAAACTTAAACTTCTTCTTACGCCACTTCTTCAAAATAGACTCGCCCAGGCCGTGGTATTTTGTGGAAGAGCCACTCTAAGAGGCCAAAGAGCTGCATGTGGCTCATGAGCCAGGGTTTGCCGACCACGGGTCTAGGCTGGTGGCCCTGCTCCACGTGTCTGGGATCCTTCTGGGACCAACGAGCTGGCCTGGGCACTCCTCTCCTGGCATCTGCCGACCACACGTGGAGAAGCACAAGCCAGGCAGGCCTCCTTTTGGCCAAGGGTATGGAGTGGAGGGACAGGACCAAGTCTGTCCTTCAGGGTTGCATTCAGTGCTTATTTCTTAAATATGTTGTATGATCCCCTTAGATGTGCTGCCTTTCAGTTTAAATCAACAGTAAATTGGTTTTAGTGAACAAGTAATTAGAGAGAACAGCCCCACTGTGATATTGTATGTAACCCACCAAGGTTCGAGCACACCTCTGATTCTTTAGGACATGAAATGCTGAGAGTCTGTCAGGCACTGCTCTGAACTTAGATATTGTTCCCTTTTCCCAGGATGCCTTTTCCTCAATTCATGTCTGCCTGGTGGATTCCTGTTCATTCACCCAAAGTCTAGCGTAGGTTTCTTCTCTCCCCGAAAGGTCTCTGGGACTGCCTCCGAGTTAATCTCACCCTCCCTGTGTGTCTGCCCATATTTCTGTTGTTGGGCTGACCACAGGGCGTTCACACGCTGGTCTTTCTTCCCCAGGGCACAGCGTGCGGGCAGGATGCAGGCAGGGTGAGCCCATCCAGTCTGCAGAGCCCCGTGCCCCTCCCTGTCCTGCAGAGGTGGCTCTCCGTGTACACGAAATTAACTCTGAAGGAGGCTTTTTGCTCTTAACTCTACAAAAACCTGCAGACCCACTTTCCTAATTGAATCACAGTCTTGTACTGTGTTTGTGTTGGCATGCTTCTCTCTACCTAGTCATGGAAAAGCCAAAATGTCATTCCGAGTTGTGAGAGGGGATTGTTCTGCTCAGAAACTTTACAAGTTGGGATAGGAAAATGAGTTATTGAAATGCAAATCTGATGGTTTTATTCTCCTTGTTCAAAATCCTCACAGATATTTAAGCCATATCTGCATTTATAAAAATAGATGGACAGCTCAGGCCTTCATTCCCAGTGGTTAGAGCATTGGCCTGTGCACTGAAGGGTGGCAGGTTTGATTCCTGGTCAAGGGCAAGTACCTGGTTTACAGGCTTGATCCCTGGCCCCAGTCAGAGAGGGAGCAGGAGGCAACCAATTGATGTGTCTCTCACATTGATGTTTCTCTCTCTCTTTCCCTCTCCCTCTCTCCCTTCCACTCTCTCTGAAAATCAATGAAAAAATATCCTCAGGTGAGGATTAACAGCAACAAAAATAGATGGGCAGTGACACAAAACTGAGCAAGATTTAGGATGAAGACATAATTAGAGATGGATGAAGGTGGGCCAGAAGGAACAAAAACTGAGGATGGTAGGGAGGCTGATGGAGGGCATGGAAGCAGGTACTGGAAGGTTAGGATCATAAAATATTATGGCAACGAGAAAGGGAGCAAGGGGACTGGCTTATATCAGACCTGTTGCTCAGGGCTCTTTCAGGGGCCAGGAAGAGAGGCGTAGCAGGTTAACTCGGATGATGGGGTTTATCAACAGGCTACACAGGAAACCATCTCAACAGCCACACCAGCAGCTCCCAGCAGCTCTGTGTCCTGGCAGCTGCCAAGGAGCTTGCCTTTCTCCTTACTCCTTGTCTTAGTGTTTGTTTTAGGGCCTCAGTACCTTGCCGACTCTGGCCACATGCAGAGCCTTCACCAATTACTCTTCTTTGGTGGCTGGAGACAGTCACTTGCCCTTGGTGCTGTTGGCAGTGTTTTTGTTTGTTTTTTTAAAAATATATTTTATTGATTTTTTACACAGAGTAAGGGAGAGGGTCAGAAAGCCAGAAACATCCCCTACTGGGGATGTGCCCACAACCAATATACATGCCCTAAACCAGAATCGAACCTGGGACCTTTCAGTCCGAAGGCCAATGCTCTATTCACTGAGCCAAACCAGTTTTGGCATGTTGGCAGTGTTTTAACTACTTCATGCTGGAGCCTGGTCTCAGCAGCCATAGCCAGGGAAGGAGATGGTCACAGGGAGCGAGGCACTGTGACATACGTAGGAAGGACCTGCAGTTGTTTGGCTCAGAAGAGGAGAGCACTACTTGCAAGCAACTTGAGATCTTAGAGCCTGACCAGTGTGTATGGAGCTTTAAGGAAGTGTGGCTCAGCTCCGTGTGCTCTGCCTCATTTCTAACCAGTCAGTACTCCCTGTTCATTCAGACCCAAGAGGAGGGCCCCTGGCTTCAGCCTGATCTTCAAAGCCTCTCATGACATTGGTTTTCATCCCACCAGGCTGCATCTGGACTCGCAGAGCACATGTTCCGTCAGGGATGTCTGCCACCGTGGCCCATGCCTGCCATTGCTGGGTTAGGGAGTGAGGCTAGTGTCTACATCCTTGCGCTGTTTTACCTCCTAAGAGCCCAGGGAAGGAGTGGAAAGGGGGCTTGTCCATGAGCTTGATCCCACGGAACACTCTTGATTTTGTGAGAGGCTTTACCCTCCTTTGGAACTTTGAGAAGGAAAAGCGGATGGAGCACATCTGAAGTTAGTCTAGTCCTGCCTTCTGCTTTTCACCAGGGTCATCAGGACAGAATGCCTTTCTAATTTATGGCTGAATCACTGAGCTGAGGTTGGCTATCCAGCCACAAGGGAATGCGCTTATATGTCACTTTCTGGCTTTTGTAGCCAAAAACTTGTGTCACATCGTTCTGCGTTGTAGTTTATGACCAAATGAGGCTTTGAAGTATTATAGTAATAATAAAAGCTAGCACTCATAGAGTGCCAGGCAGTGTTCTAAGTGCTTACACGAGTACTCGCTCATGCCAGCCTGTCAACCCTTAAGGAGAGAGCTACTGTTGATTCTTGTGTCCTGTTTTAATTGTAGGAGGTCAGAACAAGCTCTTTTTCAAGCCAGATCTTACTCTGGAAGAGGTGCAGGCAGAAAATCCCAAAGTGCACAGAGGCCGCTATCACCCTGCGGAATGTAAGGCTTTGCAGCGGGTTGCCATCCTCATTCCACACCGGAACCGGGAGAGACACCTGATGTACCTGCTGCAGCACCTTCACCCCTTCCTGCAGAGGCAGCAGCTGGAATACGGCATCTACACCATCCACCAGGTGAGTGTGGGCATAGAGCAGGGCTCTGCCTCAGAGTCTCCTCTCTCTGAGGCACTTGGCTATTTGTCTATCTTGGTTAAAAGGAACATCACACTGTTGTCAAAGGAGGGATCTCTTACCTGGTTCATCCTTGAGTGGAGTGAAAGAAATTCTTGTCCCAGAGTGCTGGGGAGGGATGGGGCTAATTGCTAGGAAACTTCACAGCCTTTTCAATAAGCCTCTGGAGGAAGCCCATTTTGTTGTGAGCCCTTCCATGTTCGCCAGTGGCTGCCCTACAGTTTCCCCCTGATATATCCCTACATGTCCCTCTGCGTTGGCCATACACCACACAATGAGATGTTGGAATTGTTTTGCATTATGGAGCGTGGCTACTCACGGGGGATCGAGATAGGATTTGACAGATGACTGCCTGTTAATAACATGGGGTTCTATGAACCTCTCCACCATTCTGCCTATAAGTTTGCCACTATTTATTATGGAAAAAATGTTTAGTTTTCACTTTCTTTTCCCCGCCCCCTCTTTTTTTTTTTTTGTTTCTTGATTTACTTATTAGGCTTCCAGAAGCATGATTTAGTAGGAACACAGTAAGTGTCAGTGTTCGCTGCTTTTGAAGAGTTTAGCGCAAAGTGGAGTGGGATATTAAAGATATCTTTATTTGGTATTAGTGTTTATTGAAAGAAAAATAAGGCATCAATTTAAATGGCCACATCTAGCTTTTCAGAATTGCCCTGGGCCATTCAAAAATTTCCCCTCAAATCCTTACAAATGCCAAAAATGCAAGCAGAAATCATTAATTGCATCCTTACTATTGATTATAACCGGTAATATTTGTTTAATGAAAAGTTTTGACACATTAGGGGGTATATATAGCTCTGCAATGTATATTTTATAATAAACTGGGGCTCTTAAAAATTAATGTGTATATATAATGCCTATTATTTTATTATTTGAAACAAAATTTTACTATCATATTGTTTTATAATTATTTTTGCTTTTAACATTGTTAGTCACTCTGAGTTTTTTCCTCGGGACAGCTACTCCCAATGTATATATTTTATGAGTAGAAAAGTGTTTGCTTTGTCTTAGTCTTTTCAGAAGAGTACTATGGAAACTTTTGAGAGAACTGCCTATATTTTTTTACGATAAACTGTTTATTGAGCTGGAATTGATTCTGAAGAAATTTGATCTAAACAGCCATGAAAATATTAATGCTGTGAAATCTTTTTCATGCTTTACTTCTGATCTTACTCCTGGTCGAAAAGTGTTCTTTTCTTACCCAGTGATGAACCTCTTCCGGGGGGCGGTCACCGTGGGGATTAGTTCTCGCTGTTAAACATGAAAACAGGATTTTCTCACAGTGATTCCAAGAAACTTAAAAAAATATATATATATTTATTGATATTTTACAGAGAGGAAGGGAGAGAGATAGAGAGCCAGAAACGTCGATGAGAGAGAAACATCGACCAGCTGTCTCTTGCACACCCCTTACCGGGGATGTGTCCGCAACCAATGTACATGCCCCTGACCGGAATCGAACCTGGGACTCTTCAGTCCGCAGACCGATGCTCTACCACTGAGCCAAACCGGCTTCGGCCCCAAGAAACTTTTAAGTAGCTTAGAAATACTATCGGTAACCTTTGTTTACTGGTCACAAACTTTTTTTTTTTTTTAAGTTCAATTTTTAAATTTTTTTTTAGGTTAGTTCGTACCTGAGGATATTTTCCCATTGGTTTTTAGACTAAGTGGAAGGGAGGGAAAGAGAGAGAGCAACATCAATGCCAGAGAGACACATTGATTGGTTGCCTCCTACATGCTCCCCAACCAGGGCTGGGGATCAAGCCTGCAACCAAGGCATTATACATGCCTTTGACCGGAAGTGAACCAGGACCCTTTACTCCGCAGGCCAGGGCTCTGTCCACTGAGCCAGTCTGGCTAGGGCAGGTCACAAACTCTTGGTCTTTTCTGGCAAGCTATGTTTCTTGGAAGCTTGGTGTAAATTGATTACATCGGATAAGATTGGGATGAGCTGAGAGCTGAACAGTGAAGCGGTGATACTTATCAGTGTGACTAGAACGTAAGAAAGGTTTTGTAGTTTTACACGGAACAAATAAAGATATACTTTAACTTTTTTTTAGTTATTTTCATTTGTATTTCAAAACTATGGGACCTTGAAAGCTTGTTTGGAGGTTCTAGCAGAAGAGCCAAGTTACTCATATACCCTTGACCGAAGAGAAGTCCTTTCCTCTATTGGGGAAGATCACCCCATTTGACGAAGAAGCGTGCAGCTTTGGGAGGGATGAGCATGGAGCGGTGAGGAAGGAAGAGGACACCCCCCTCACCAGCCAGATTACAAATCAACCTTGGCATTCAATGGGTGACAGATGTCCCACCCAGATCGCCCTAACATTCATTTGGGGGGGGGAAAAAAAAAAAAAAAAAAAAATATATATATATATATATATATATATATATATATATATATATATATATGGTATTGCTCCAAAATGTATACACACACTTTGAATAATTATAAAAGCAGTGCTTATTAAAATACATTTCATTTTCAAAATTGAGCTACCAGGTGTTAAGGTGTGCATACAATTTTTTGGACTATATATGGTTAAAAATTGTGGAAAATAATGTGTAATATAAATTCACCACCTTAACTATTTGTAAGTGTACACGTCAGTAGTGTGACGTATATTCACAGTGCTCACTCTATCTCTAGAACTTTTTCATTTTTCAAAACTGAGACTCTATGCCCATTAAGCAACAACTCATCTCAAGGTATGTTTTTCAGTTATGGAATTTAAATATGTGTGAAGCATTAAGCTGTCTTTTATTGTTATTGCACCTATTGTCACTTCTTCCTGTCACTAGTTGTGTGCAGCAGGAGTAATTCATACCAGATCCTGCATCTGACCTGGAGGGAGCCCCACTGTGAAATCGTCTCAGGAGCTTTTCAGCTTTTCCCTTCTCTGTCTGCAGGCCGGGAGTAAAAAGTTTAATCGAGCCAAACTCTTGAATGTGGGCTTCATAGAAGCTCTCAAGGATGAAATGTGGGACTGCTTTATCTTCCACGACGTGGACCTGGTGCCCGAGAATGACCTGAATCTTTACAGGTGTGAGGACCAGCCCAAGCACCTGGTGGTGGGCCGGAACAGCACTGGGTACAGGTAAGGCGGCTCTGCCCCTGGCCTGCTCGCCCTGGTGTCGCCAGGGTGTGAGCGATGTCATGCCCAGAGAGTCTTAGGAAAATGAGACATAGGAAAAATGGCACCTGACGTATCTCTTAAAGTTCAAAACAGAAATATGAAAAATCAGATTTTTCCTTTGAGGACAAAAGCCCTAGAGAAGCTTTGACAGAGGAGCCTAAAGAGGAAAGGGAAAGAAAGGAGGGAAAATAATGCAGGCATTGCAAACCAGGGCCAGCCTCCCCTGCAGAACCACACACTGGAATTTTTTCAAGCTGGCGCCTCCCCCCCTCCCCCACACTGTGCAGAATTCAGGTAACTTACCTGTCTGTCCTTGATTCCCCCCTCTTTGAGGCAACAGATGTGTGCCCCTTAGTTCAGCTCTTACGCCTCTGTAGTGAGAATGGGATGTCTCTTTCTACACGGTGGCCTCTTCCCCAGGTTCTGAGGGAGAGTAGGGAGGGGAGTATCTACTGAGCAGTCAGCTCAGGAGCCAGAACACCCAGGATAAGTTCCTTTTCTCAGAGCCACTGTGGGAAGTGCTAGGCACGCCCATTTCTGTCTTCATTCCCCATTTCTTGTGCCCCCCAGGAGAGGGATACCTGCCTTTCAACCTTATTTTATACCAGCTTCTATTTAAGCACAGCCTAGGGCAGTGGTCGGCAAACTCATTAGTCAACAGAGCCAAATATCAACAGTACAACGACTGAAATTTCTTTTGAGAGCCAAATTTTTTAAACTTAAACTTCTTCTAATGCCACTTCTTCAAAACAGGCTCGCCCAGGCCGTGGTATTTTGTGGAAGAGCCACACTCAAGGGGCCAAAGAGCTGCATGAGGCTCGCGAGCTGCAGTTTGCTGACCACTGGCCTAGGGGAAATATAATAGTAAGCAGGAAAATTCTCTACGAATGAACTGTATATTCACTTCTGTGTGTGCACACTTCCCTGTCAGCTTCCCCAGAGCCTGCCATTCCCATGTGCTCGTGTCTGTGGTGCTCACTGTACTCCAGCCACGAGACCACTTTGAATAGGCCCATTGCCTGCCCTCCAAGGGCTCCCTGCTGTGTGCTGGTGGGGAGACAGCTACCGTGGAGTTGCATCAATTTTGCATTTAACTTAAGTTTAACTATGAGCACTTGGTAATGACTGGGGGAAGGAGGAGGAGAAAGAGCTGTGAGGGGGTGAGGATGCCATGTGCCTGAAGGAGGGCAGGTGCGGTGGGGTCACAGGGCTGGGGAGGTTCTGGAAGAGAATCACGGGCCTGAATCTCATTATCTGGAGGCTTTGTTTTCTGATCTCTGAGCCACCTCGGCCTTGATGAAAGAAGTATATCATGGCAGGGCACCGTGTATTTTCAGGAACACATAAAACAATCTGTTCACTTGTGTATTAATATGTTTGCACTGTCTACAGCTCAGCATACCCGTATGTCAAACCCTTGACATAGATACTGAGTAAACATCTGTGGTGAGAAATTACAACTGCACAGGATTTATTTTTCCAGTGCGAAACACAGGATTGTTTTAAGCACTGGTCTTTTGTTGGAATTCTAGATTTTATGTTAAGCAAAAACTGAGTTCTTGGGCATTGCTGCTGGGAATTGATTTTGAATAAAATTTCCATGTCACAATCATGGATTTCATCAGAGGCTACTCACTCTAAAAACAGCCCCTGTCCTGGCCAGTGTGGCTCAGTGGTTGAGCTTCAACCTATGAACCAGCAACTCACAGTTTGATTCCGTCAGGGCAAATGTCCTGGTTTTGGGCTTAATCCCCAGAAGGGGGCATGCAGGAGGAAGCTGATCAATGATTCTCTCTCCTCATTGATGTTTCTCTCTCTCCCTCTCCCTTTCTGAAATCAATTAAAAAACCCCCCAAAAAACAGCTCCTGTACAAATATTGCAGTTTTGACTTGCTATTGTAACTGGCCAGACAATTCTTTTATAACCATCAGAGAGCCTTTATTTATTTTTTTTTTAGTAACTGGCAGGTTTTCCTAATGTGAATCAGGGATTGAATGTGTCCTCCTTTTTCTTCTGGTTGCAAGAAGCTCTGAGCCAAGTTCATCTCCTTTTTATTGAATTTATTGAGGTGGCATTGGTTAATTAAGTTATATAGGTTTCAGATGTATAATTCTAGACTACATCATCTGTATATTGTATTATGTGTTCAAATCTTCTAACATCATTTATCTCCCTTTTACCCTCTTCTCCATATCTTTCTTTTTAAAACTAAAAAGAATATTTAAAAAAATATATTTTTAATTGATTTCGGAGAGGAGATAGAAACATCAATGATGAGAGAGAATCATTGATTGGCTGCCTCCTGTGGCCCCCTGCTAGGGATTGAGCCCACAACCCAGGAATGTGTCCTGATTGGGAATCAAACTGGGACCTCCTGGTTCATAGGTCGATACTCAACCATTGAGCCACACCAGCCAAGCAGAAAATAATCTTATTTGCAGATTTTAGTTCTAATATATTTCCCACCTTAATCTTCTCATCAGGTTGAAGTTTTCCTCTGGTTCTGGTTTGTCGTTTATATTTCTTTGCTTTGTTATATTTAAAGTAGGGGCCCAGTGCACGAATTCGTGCACCTTGAAAGCAACTGTGGGCCATGAGGCTGCAGTGGGCACAGGGGCGGGTCTCAGCCCATCTCCCATGCCCCCATCTGGCCAGGCCTCCTGTCTGCCAGTAGCCCCGCTCTTGCCACCACCGCTTCCATGCACTGATGAACCCATCCCATTTGCACCTGCTGATAGCGCGGAGTGATTGGGGCTGGCACCAGTAGCAGGTGTGAGTGGGGCCAGTGCCATCAGCAGGTGAGAGTGACAGTGGCTGCCCTGATCGCCCCTCAGGAGCAGGGGGAGGTGGAGAAGCCCTCAGGGGTGATCGGGCTGGTAACTGCCTCTCACATCCACTGAGGGTGCCAAGTGATTGGGCTGGCACTGGGTGCTGGCAGCCGGTGCAAGTGGTGTAGAATTATACCATTTTCCTTTTTCGTTTTCCTCATGGAGACCACCTAAAGGTGTCCCATTTTTCTACCTATCTGAATCCTCTGATGTGTGACGTCTCCTTCCTCAGAATCCTGATAAGCTCACCTCTTGTTAAACTGTAAACCCTGAGGGCAGGGCCCAGGGATTACAGAGTTTAGCCAGCCTTTTGCTCAGGGTGCACAGTGGTTTCTCATGGATCCCTATCAGATCATCAGTGCTGGTTTTCTCCTGGTGCCCCCTCCATGGTGCTTGGCAAGTTAGGCCTGGGCCTTGCTTCCACTCTGCCCTGATGAAGCTACTGGTCTTTAGTAGTTAAGAGTCTCTTCCCAGTAAGATTCCAGTAACCATGGCAACAGATCACTGTCCTCGATGTCTTGGGCAGTAATAGCTTTCTTCTGAGCACTTTCCTTTTGTTTATTTTAGGTTGTAATTATACAATTTTCTAGAATTTTAGGTTGAAGGTATTTAAGTAAATCTGTTTCCATTATGGGTTAAACAGGGTCCTCCCCATTTGTAGGCAGAACATAGAAACAAACTGTTGAACCACAAATTACCTGTTAGATGGCACGTGTCTATGTGTTTATTGATCTCTCCTTTTGGTTTTTCTTTTTATCTAAAAAACCAGAAGCATTTCATAGGTCCTAGAGCACTTTGAACCAAAGTTAAAGTTTCAAATCCTCCATATATGCACATCCTTTTATTCAATGACATCTAAGTTATTAAGCTCTCTTCATTTGCATTTCTGAATTGTTGCAGTGTTATCTTGAGAGATAACTTTATTTCTCAGCTATGCTAATTAGTCCACCCGTAATCATAAGAGAGCTATGTGACTGGGGGGTACCTTCTGGTCCCTCTTGATCTTTTCTCTTTCCCCCTTTTCTTGTGACTATCCCCATGGCTCCCCCCTCTGCCCTCTTCTCACCTGCTGCACTGTCCTTGGCAGTGCATTTCCCCTACCCCTGCCCTCCAGGTGCCACCTCTTGATAGCTTATTTCCACAGCCATATCTTTCTTTAGCCTCTCTTCACTTTTGAACTTGGACCCAAATCCTTTTGACCACCAGGGATATCCCAGACTCCACTCACTAAAAACATAATTTACTGTCTTCCTTTCAAAACCTAATCATTGTTCTGTATACTCTGTTTCTGTGAAAGCCACTATCATCTACCTAATTGCTCAAACCAGAAACATGGTTAGTTGAAGTGTATTGGGTTCTTCAGGAACAAACTCTGAGATGGAGCTTTGCATGCTGGGAGTGGAAATTTGCATGCAATGTGTGAGCAGGAACCATCTCCTCTCTCTCTACACCAACCCAAAACAAAGTGAGAGTGAAAATACCAGTATATTCTCTATGACACTTATTCATGCTGAACCTGGGTGCAGCTTCAGAATCCTTCTTAATCCAGTGAGTGCCCTGTAGCTACGACTACTCATTGGATTGGCAAATGGGGTGACATCTGTCATCCACACCTTATGGTATGGTGCACACTCGCAGGCACTTCTGTCGACCTCTGCACACAAACATTAAACATGAACAATAACAGGTGGGTGGCACCTTGCTTAGTGAGGAGATGTGAGCACTTTCCTAGACAGGAATGGAGGCCAGACAGGCAAGGCCAGGAATGTCAGGAGGTGGGTGCCCAGCAGGACTGGATGGTGGAGTGCATGGTCTTCAAGTGTTCCTAGAATGCCAGCCCTGAATCAGAGATTTCTCCAGTGTCTGTGGAGAACAAAAAACCTTCGTGCTCATGTTCTTACCTTTCCTCTCTTCTGCTGCAGGTTGCGTTACAGCGGATATTTTGGGGGCGTTACTGCCCTAAGCCGAGAGCAATTTTTCAAGGTGAATGGATTCTCTAACAACTACTGGGGATGGGGAGGCGAAGATGATGACCTCAGACTCAGGTGAACAACAGAGACAGGTCCCCTTCACGGGGCTCTGTGGTCCCTGATGGCTCTGGAACCCTCTGCGTCATAGTTCCTGTAGATGCCAGCCCAGCGGGGCACGAGGCTGCAGATTTGGGCATAAAGGGTGTCTGGGGTGGAGGGAAGGTGCCCAAATTGCTTTTTGACCCTGGCCATGCGGAAATGATGGAAGGTGGCCTGCTCCTGGCTCGCGGGCGTTAGGGGCCCGCAGTGTGGATGAAGGTCTCGGTGGACCTGTCCGTGAGCACTGCTTACTGAGAAGGGTCTCGCCCGTGAATGCAAAGCTGTGATCTGAGGAAAGTGGCCAGAGGGCTTGTTATAAGCCTGTGCTTTCTCTCAGACCCCGGGGAATCCTGCCCGTTCCCAGTGCCCAGAGCAGGGCGTGCCCGCAGCCTGGTGCTGCACACCTGAAGCCGGCCAAGAGGCCCTCTCCGTTAGGCATTAGCCAGCCCCGCATACCCTGGGAGCAGCTGCTGCCTGCCTCCCAGGCCGATCGAGCTCCGGGCTGCTAGCATTACCCTCAGGTTCTCCTGGGCTGCTCTCTGCCCTGAGGGGTTCAGAGGGAATATATCTGACCCCTTCTCTCCGCTCTCCCTCCCCTGAGCAGGGTTTTATAGCCTGATAGCTATCAGTATTCCTACCTCCCAGAGATAAGTAATTATTCAAGAGCCTGGGTCCAGTATCTTTAAAATATATGTACTTTTATTTATTTCAGAGAGAAAGGGAGAGGGAGAGAAAGAGATAGAAACATCAATGATGAGAGAGAATCATTGATTGGCTGCCTCCTGCACACTCCACACTTGTGGGGTCAAGCCTGCAATCCAGGCATGTGTCCTGACCGGGAATCAAACTGTGACCTCCTGATTCACAGGTCAATGCTCAACCCTTGAGCCATGCCAGCGGGCTAGGGCTAGTGTCTTTAGACATAATAACAAGGCCTTCCTGGTTATCAGGGGACCCCCATTCCTCCTGCCAGTATCTCTTGGGAAGGAACTCTGTTTGCTGGAGTTCTGAATTAATATATATGTGACTGTCAGAACTTTGCCCTTGCTTCTGCCGAAAGAAGCCAGGGCTCCCTGCTGGTCTTGTCCCCGTGCACAGGCTTAGAGTCTGGGATGTTTCTAGCAGGAGGGGAGTGGGTTTCCCTGACCAGAGTCTCCATAGGAGTGGCCTTGTGACGGGCAACAGCTCTTCAAGGCCTGGGTGGCCGGGTCTTATGAAGTGGACAGAGAGAGGGCGTCCGTTAGATTTCAGGGCACGAGTAGCAAAGGCTAGAGGCAAACGATGCCCATCCTCGTCCCCAAGTTCCATTTTACTGCCCGGATGGGATGGGTAGTAGGATTTTGCACTGATCATGTATCATCGCTGTCCCCTTTCCCGCTGCTCCTTGGCTGCAAGGTCCAGTTTTGCTTTTGTTTGATAAAAACATTAGGGCTGTCAGCATGATTCTCAACCAATGCCATGAATGATTAGATGATTTCAACCTAAAAGTTGGTTGCGATTTATTTACTAAATATTGTTTGGCTCACCTGTGCAGCAGTCACCACCCTTCTTTGCACGTCTGTATCACATTGCAGTTTGCAAAGCATGCTCCCATAGACTCTCATTTGAGCCTGTCTGACCACCTCTGTAACACCCTTGGTATTTTATATATGGGAAACCAAGACCTAGAACAATGAACCCACTGACCAGGATTATAAATAACAAAGTCTAGATTTGAATCTAGGTCCTATGAGTCTATAGCTTGTGACTAAAAGATCGTTACTTTGTATAAAGGGCGAAGCGTTAAGTAAACTGGGACCCTGAGAGACTTGATTCTCCTATTTGTCACACTTTAAAAAAGTTATTTTTCAATTTCAATTGACATACGATATTATATTAATTTAAGGTGTACAACATAGCGATTATATACATTTATATACCTTAAATCATGATGTTTTAAAACATGTACTTTCTCAGTTGCTTTTGGAAAATGGTATGCTATAAATTGACACATCTCCTTTGTGCCCCCAAGATAAATGTTAAGTGTGATCTTTTTGATGGACTTATTGCCTGAGGCCCTACATTATGAGAAAACTAGAGGCCTTGTGTACGATATTCTTTCTTTAATATGCAAACAAGCAAGCTATGTGTGACACTGTGTGTGTGTGTGTGTGCACCTGTGTATACATTTTTACAAATGTTTCTGTTTAAGAGCCTAGTGGTAGGTAAGTAGACTAGACTTTTTTTTTTAACCTCCTGTGTTCTTTGTCTAGGGTTGAGCTTCATAGAATGAAAATAATCCGGCCAATGCCTGATGTGGGCAAATATACAATGATCTTCCACACTAGAGACCCAGGCAATGAGGTGAACATAGGGCGGTAAGTCCTGGCTTCCGAGCCTCGCCAGCTACTTGCTTTGCTCAGTCCCTTCTGTCAATCTTGGGCACTGAGGAATCTGATCAGATGAGCCAGTTTATTTTGTTCAAAGCTTTTTTATTGGGGTAATTTTCAAACAGACAACAGAGGATATGTTTTTATTGATTTGTAGAAAATGGAAAGGAGAGAGAGAGAGAGAGAGAGAGAGAGAGAGGGAGGGAGAGAGAGAGAGAGAGAGAGAGAGAGAGAGAGAGAGAGAGAGACAGAGAGAGAGAGAGAGAGAGAGAGAAACACTTGCCTCCCCAACATTCCTCGACTTAGGGATTGAATGCACAACCTGCATATATACCCTGACCAGGAATCAAACCCACAACCTTTTTGGTGTATGGACAACACTTCAACCAACTGAGCCACCCGATCAGAGCTCCCCTATCTTTTAAAATAGCATTAAAGGGCTTTTGGCCTTTTTGTTGAAGTTTACATTTTTCTTTTTAAATCTTTTTTGTTGAAAGTCTTACATATTTCCCCTCTTCCCCCCATTGACCCTTCTAGCCTGCTTCCACCCCTCTGAAGTCTACATTTTAAAACAATATTAGTGTTAGAATCTTTTTGTTAGAATCTACCACTTTAACAAAATAAATATTTCTGTTTTCCCTTTGTCTTATTAATCTCTGTCCATAGGTATGCATCTTTCTCTTTAAATAAAAAAAATTATTATTGAATAGATGAGAAAGAATATTTATAAATTATATGAAAATTCTGAAGATTTTTTTTCCCCCCTGAAGATTCTTGATACCATGAACACTAGTGGTGTCCCCCACCCAATGTATGCCTATTAGCTGTGAGGCTCTCCCTATATCTGCTCCCCGCGACAGGAGGCAACCATTTCCTGAAATTTTGTGATAATTATAATTATTTGTGCCGTTTCTTGTTTTCCCATATATTTGTATTCCTACACAAAAGATTGTTTAATTTGCATGTTTATCAATTTTCTGTAAGTGAAATCCTGCTGTTTCATCTTCCCCTGACTTCATTTAGCTCAACATTGTGCTTCTGATGTCCATCCACATTGTTTCTGTAACTGAATGGATTGCTTTTCTCTGCTGGACTCCGGGGACCAGCTCAGTTCACCACCCACGTTACCCACATCACAGGCTCTGGCCACACACCTGCTTATTCTCCTTCAGATGCATTCTGCTGTCTGCGTGTCTGTGCATCTTGCACAGGGTGGTTTCTCTTCCTGGGAGTCCTTTCCCTCGCCTTCTTCACGCAGTGAATTTCTCCTCTTTTAAGCCTCAAATTTTCCTTCTCTGCACCCCCTCTCCAGACTCCGTCATGAAGTGAGGTGCCCTTAATTCATCCTTCTCTCCGTACATTCTAACTTCGTTGGAGATTCTTAGGAAAGTTGTGTAAACTCCTTGCAAACAGACGCAATTTCCCCAACAACAGTGGGGGATTCATAGATCCCCTGAAGCCTATACAAGGACCTGTTAGCAGAGGACCATACATATCACACTGTATCCGTGTACATTGTACCTGTACATCCTTCTGTCCACAGGCTAGGGGCTCACTGTATTCAAGTGTCCTTATTATATGACACGTCATCATTGGTCTCCAGGGTCTCACATGGGGTCAGGCACAGGAACACATGGCTGTCATTGATGTCTTTTACCGTAGGAGGGGAAAATAAACTTTCTTTGCAGTAAGAAACCCAAGGGCTATAATAACTTACCAAGATGCTTTTGGGAAATTCTGTGGCAAGGCAAAAAACGATGGGAATATATGTTAAATCTTTTATGTTAAATCAAATAAAAATTTGTTCTTTTTATCTTTAGGATGAAGCTCTTACATCAGGTGTCACGAGTCTGGAGGACAGATGGGTTGAACACTTGTGTTTATAAATTACTATCCGTGGATTACAATCCTTTATATGTCAACATCACAGTGGATTTCTGGACTGGCCCATGACCGTGGATTGTCTGGTGATATTCGGAAAAACTGGATATATGATTGCAATAATTTGGGCCTAGAGACTTCCCCTAGAAGCACACATTTAGAACGTGCTACAGCTAATTATTGAGCTGAACTTTTCCTTTTTGTATTTTCTTAGTAGAGCTCCTGGTGAGATGGAACATAATGCAATAGTAACAAAACAGCTTTCTTAGTTGTTTTGCTCATGAAGGTTAAAATATTGCAATAGATACTTGAAGGACTGAATGTAAAAGGAAGACTCAAAAGCTATCATGCAGGCTACTTGAGAACACTAATGGAAGGAGATTTATTTAGGTTTGAAGTGATTCATTGTGGGATAAAAGAGGCCATCGGAAATAAGATTGCTGAATGTCCCAGAGAACCAGAATTGTCCTCCCTGGAGGGAAAAAGGTACGAAGATGTATTTCTGTCCTCATTTATCCTGCATGGCCATCTGTGAAGAGGCTGGTCCGGTGAGAAGACAGTGGCAGAAGAGGGGGAAAAAGGTGAAGAGCCAAGATGCAGTGGACTTGGGAACTTACGAGGTGGCGGGGGGACAGGGCCAGATGGAGAGGCAGCAGCCACAATACTGGCCGCTGCTGCTGCTGCTAATCCTGTCACCTGCCCGGATACGCCTTCCAGGAAGACCCCAGCAGAAGACACATTATCTACTACTTTTTCAGGCGTTTTTGTAAAATGATTTTGTACACGTAGGGTATGAATGAGCTGTTTACAAATTACATAGTGACTAATAATACATTGAAAATACCTCTCCAGTAAAAGATAAAAAAGTTTTGGGTGCGCAATCTTGTTTACTGTTGTGTGAGGCCCACAGACGTGTTGATTTCAGTATCCAAAATCCTAAGCAGTTTAAAAACAAAACAGAGGCGACCAGCCCTCCCACTTTCCCTCTTCCTCATCTCCTGTTCCTCCCTGCCCTTCCTGTGTACATCTAAGGAAGGTAATAGGAGATGGGTACTGAGTCAGAAAGAAAAGTATTTGGTTTTCGTAGGTGAATGGACCCGCAAATAGTGTAGATGTGGATTTCTTAAGGATTGTGCAACTGTGCCCCGGGGTCTCTCAATCTGTCATTATTATGTGACACTTGGTTAAATTGTAACATGAATGGGTGCCAACCAAACAGGGAGAGGGCGGGAATGGGGATCTCAAGAAAGATAGCAGTCACTACCCAAGTGGGGAAGGAGAATTGATGGGGAAATACATCTTATAGACATGACAGGCTTACCTAGGGCTGACTTGGGTTACCTTTAACTCTGTAGGGACAAATAAGTGTTTTCTTTTTCTTTATTAGCACAGAAAGAATGATGGTTTTCGTTTTTCTCCTCTCTTTTCTCTTTCTTTTTAACAGAATTTTTCTTTGGCATTCTGTTCCAATTTTCTTTATTATCACAATATACAGACTGAACTGTTGTAGTGGCCAACCCCCAATGCAGGGCTCCCCAATTTGGAGGCTATGAGTGCCTGGCCATGGTTGAGGAGGGTAAAGCAAGAGACTTTGTGCAAGGAATTTGAAGATCAATATTTGAGAATTCCATTTTTTTTTAGTTAATGGAAATGAAATACTGTTACTGCCATGTGGGGATTCCCTGTGCATTTTCATCTATTAACAAAGCATCTGTATTTTTAAAAATATATATTTTATTGATTTTTTACAGAGAAAAAGGGAGAGGGATAGAAAGCTAGAAACATTGATGAGAGAGAAACATCGATCAGCTGCCTCTTGCACACCCCCTACCAGGGATGTGCCCGCAACCAATGTACATGCCCCTTGATGGGAATCGAACCTGGGACCTTTCAGTCCGCAGACCGACACTCTATCCACTGAGCCAAACCAGTTTGAGCAAAGCATCTGCATTTTTAAATGTTAGTAATCACTGTACTATACCTATTACAGTGGTGCCTCGCATAAAGAACGCCTCTCACAGCGAACGCTGCACACAACGAACTTCATTTCATGATTCATACAACGAACTTCGTTTCACACAACGAAGTCGCCCGAGCTTCCACGACCGCTTTGCCTGAGCTTCCACGACTGCTTCGCCGAGCTTCCACGATCGCTGTCGATGTATTGCATCCTTCCGCGCAGGCACTGCAGGCAGTCGTTAGTCATTGCGCTTAACTTAAGCACGTATCGCGGCAATCGTTCTTCATTACGAATTAAATCACGCACGTATCACGGCAGTCGTCCTTTTAAGTTAAACTCAATATTTTTTTTATATCATGGCTTCTAAAAAAAGCAGGAAGGTGATTTCTGTTGAAATGAAACAGGAAATAATTAGAAGGAGTGAATGTGGGGTAAAACAGTGTGACCTCGTCAAAGAGTTTGGCCTCAGCAAGACCACCATTTTCACCATTTTGACAAATAAGGATGCAATCAAATCAGCCAAAGTAGCCAAAGGAGTATCTAAATAAAAATAATAACAAAAAATTTATCTTTTTTTATGTCATCTTAGCATATTTTATGCTACAGAACGAATTATTTTTTTTAACATGTATTGTTATGGGAAAACGCGTTTCACATAACGAACTTTTCGCATAACAAACTTGCTCCTGGAACGAATTAAGTTCGTTGTGTGAGGCACCACTGTACTATTCTTCAGACAATTTTTATAATTTACTAATATAATGTCCAAATCATTTAAATGATTCATGAAATTTCTTGAGGTGGAAGATAATTAAAACATTTTTCGTTTTGTTAATCCTCACCGGAGGATATTTTCCCATTGATTTTTAGAGAGAGAGAGAGAGTGGAAGGGAGAGGGAGAGACAGAGAGAGAAACATCAATGTGAGAGAGACATACCGATTGGTTACCTTCTGCATGTGCTCTGACCAGGCCTGGGAGGATTCTACAACAGAGGTGTGTACCTTTGTCCAGAATGGAACCTGGGACCCTTCAGTCTGAGGGCTGACACTATCCACAGAGCCAAACAGATTAGGGCAAGATGATTTTTAAAGATCTTTATTTCCCCACTGTACCACCGACCTCATGGGAATGAAGCCCAGGGACTGGCTGGAGGTATGCGGCTGCTCTCCCAGGCAGGGGAGTTCGGTCTCCTTGGAGCAGAGCTTTCCCCTAATTCCTGCCCCCTGTATGTCCCATTGTCAACTGCCACTAAGAGGCCACGGTTTCTGGGTATTGTAGATGTGCCTGCCATATTTGCTAAGGATTATATGGATTTAGTCTATTTGGACATCAAAATACTTAGCATGAAGACTGTTCTATAAGATTTCATTTTTTGTTTTTGTTTTTTTCTCTCTCATACTACCATGCATTGTACTCTATGGCTTGTAGTGTTTTTACATGCACTCTCTTGATCCTGTTGAATCTTGAGATAAGTAGGGTAGATGAGGAAGTGGGGGTTAAAAACAGTTGGGGGGTCTTTCCAGAAGTCCGTCTGTCAGTAAGTGGCAGACTCAGGAGGATACAAACTCAGGTCTCCTATCCACAGATCATTACACAATACTAGAGGCCCGGTGCATGAAAATTCATGCACTGGAGGGGTGGGTCCCTCATCCCGGCCTGCCCCCTCTCACAGTCCGGGAGCTCTCACGGGCAGGAGGCAACCTGGCGATCAGGGGAAGGTGATGCCCCATCACACCTCTGCTGCTGTCATTGCTGGTAGCGCAAGCCTCGGCTGACCCTGGTTACCTGAGCCTTGTGCGGCCCTGGATGGCTGAGCAGCCGCCATCTTTCAGGGCATGGCGGTCAATTAACATATTCTCTACTTATTGGCTGTGGGCGCTGCCATCTTTGTGACGGCATGACAGTCAATCAGCATATTTCCTCTTTATTAGATAGGCTTTCCTTCATCTAGGCTTCTCTCATTCTTTGCTGTAGTTTTTCTGAAACTATTTTTTGGTCCTAGTTCCTGGAAATATTGGTATCTTCAGGCCCTAAAGAGTATGTTCCATTCTCATTCAGTCTCTGACCTTTTACGGACATCCTCTGTTTTATTTTTTTGCCCTTTATGCCCTCACTTCTACTCAAGCTCCTATAAGACAGGTTTCCTGGGAACACCCAAATGCTCTGTGAGTGGACTCTTGGGTGAGATGAGACATTTTCTGCCTGACTCGAAACCTCACTTTCCCCAAGTCCATTATGTACACAGTCACTCTCAAAAGCCTTTAACATGCTCTTCAAGATGGGCCACAGTCAGGTACATTTCATCATTTATTTTGCAATCACATTCCAAACTTCTTTTAAAAAGTCTATTCCTTAGTATTTAAGCGATTGCCTTCTTGATTGATGTAGATGTCCTGAAGATGGTCTTGTAACTTGCTGAGAGGGCCTGATAAGTCTTAAAAGCATTCACAAGGAGGTGGCCAAGAGGCCCTTCCCCAGGGACAGGCAAAGGCTTCAGGGCTCCACCGACGGCTGTTGAAGTTGAAAATGCAAATAAAATTGTACCTTGTGTGTATGTGTGTGGTGTGTGTGATGTGTGTGTGTAATTTTGGATCTTGGGGAGAGATTGGTGAAGAGTGGGGCATAACAATAATTGAGTGCTAGCTTCTTATTAGTCAATTTCCTTGTGTGTGTGTTTTTTTTGTGTGTGAAACTTTCTAATAAAAATGTAGGTATATACATATTGCAAAGAAAAAACAGATTCAAGTGAGTAATTCCCCAAAGTCAGTAAGAGAAAAAGATAAGACTTGAACCCAGGTCTCTCTTGACTCCAATATCTGTGTGTGTGTGTGTGTGTGTGTGTGTGTGTGTGTGTGTGTTTGCCCTACATTGTCAGGAGATTATGAAATTTTTCTGTGAAGGCAGCATGGGCAGAGCTATCATTTGTAACTAAAAATAATACACAAACCCCTGGCTGGGGATGTCAGTTTGTTGGAGTGTTGTCCTGTACACCAAAAGGTTGTGGGTTTGATTCCTCATCAGGGCACATACCTGGGTAATGGGTTCCGTTCCCTGTGAGGACATGTGCAGGAGGCAACTGGTCAAAATTTCTTTTTTTCTCTCCCTCTCTAAAAATTAATAAAAAACATGTCCTTGGGTGAGGATTAAAATAACAACAACACAGAACTTGAGATGTATCCACTAAAACGTCTTATCTTCATGACCCTCGTACATTCTTCCACTATGGAGTAGGAGTTTTGCTGAAAAGCTATTACTCATAACTATTGTTTGAGGGCCAATTAATTTGGACCAATATATTTGGTCATTAAACTTACTGCAATAAATTGAAGTAAGATGACATTAGTTGGCCCGTTCCCAGGGATTACGGGCCAAGTGGAGTTCTCCTGTCGGCATCTCTTACAGGCTGTTAGCCATTCTGATGCACACTTTGCATAACTTAGGGAACCCTCCCAGATCTGTGTGAGGATAGACATGCTTTCCTGAAGCAGTTGCTGGGAGGCCAGGTGATCTGCCAAAAACATGCTGAGCTGGAGTTCGGAGCCAGGTATTTGACTCCAAAGCTCTTGTTCTTAACCACTTAATGGCAACAGATGACAAATACACAAAGAGAGGAAATAAGGGTGGGCGATTGGAGAGTGTCATGTCTTTTTAAAAACTTTTTTTTAAATATATTTTTATTTATTTATTTATTTATTTATTTATTTATTTATTTATTTTTTACAGAGAGGAAGAGAGAGGAATAGAGAGTTAGAAACATCAGTGAGAGAGAGTCACCTATCAGCTGCCTCTTGCACACCCCCTACCTGGGATATGCCCACAACCAAGGTACATGCCCTTGACTGGAACCAAACCCGGACCTTTCAGTCCGCAGGCCAATGCTCTATCCACTGAGCCAAACTGGTTTTGGCTATCATGTCCTTCAACCAACAGCCCCCAGGAACACATCTGCAGATAAATAAACTGGGATCATGACTCACTGCAGGGAGGGAGAACTTACCATGAGGAACAGTGAGGTATCTCAGGCCGAGGGAGTTAGAAAGAACCAATGGGAGCACGTGGGCTTGGCTTGGGTCATTTGGGGAGGGTCTGAGGAAGCAAGGTGGGATACTGCTCTAGGGGATCCTGTCAGAAAGCAGGGACAGTTCTGTGGCTGTGCACCTCAGTACGTTTTATCCATAGGGAGGGACTAGGAGGAAACTAGAGCTGAAATAGGTGAACACATAATAGCCACTCATCTCAGCCAAGAAAGAGTGTGGAGCACTTTGTGGGGGCATGGTGACCTTGTGTGTGTCTGTGCTTACACAGAATTGTGATGTGGCCTTGCTTTGCCTCCTTTTATCTTGGCCACAGAGTAAGCTTATCTGAGGTTGGGATTCTATGAGATTGCTTATATCTAATAGGAGAACAGCATGACCCAGTTGTGAGGGCCAGGCTAGCTTCTCACTGTCAGGGGCTTCTCTCTTTTTTCTTTTTTCAAGATGAACTCAGAGTAGAGGCCATTAGAAAGTAGGGAATGATGGCATCATTTCCTTTTAATCCAATTTTCTCCTGTGTGTGTGTGTGTGTGTGTGTGTCTGTGTGTGTGTGTTGGGAGTTGGTGGGGGGATGGAAGGAAACAGGGTTGGAGAAGAATCTGGGAACTACAAATTTGTCAGGAATCTTGCCTTTTTTCAAGATTTCTTTTGGATCTTTTCATTGGAAATGGCCATTTGAGCCTTATCATAAAAATGTCACACAGGAAAGCAAACTCAATAGCTTATAACTGGCCTCCTCTGGGTTTCTTCTTTGACTTGGTCTCAGGTATAGGACATGATAAGGATCTGGGTGAGGTGAAGAGAAACGAGGCAATACTATATACAGAGGGAGAAAGGAAATTGTTCAGTCAATAGAAATGAGGAACCAGCTCAGTTTCCAATTCCTCAGCCTCAGCCCAGCTTGCCAATCAGGTTGGGGTGGAAGAGAGAGATTAGATTTTCAAAATCACATGACTATTATTATTCCTTCTTTTCTTTATGGGTACCGGGGGAGTACCTGATCTGCTGCTTGGAATGGAAGCAGTTCTTATTTATTCCAGCGGATGGGAAAAAAAAAAAAAAAAAAAAAGCTACCTGCCTGATAACAGGAGCAGCAGGCTTTCTAACATTCAGTGTAAGCAGCCTGCCTGCCAGGAGCCTGAGTAGCAAGCTGGGGAGGAAACGGTCAACCCCGAATGACCCGCTGGTGTTGCAATCAGGTAAAACCTGCCCCAGAGTACGTCTGTCTGACACATTTCTGGTGCTAGGTAATACCTTTTCCTTGCCGACTTGATAAGCAGGGGAGCAGATGCTGGGGAAGTGGGAAGTTTCGTAAGATGGCTTGGTCTGGGTGTGCCGGAAGCCCAGCAGCCAGGCTCTCCCACTCTCTTTCCCCTCCCTGCACTGGTGGGGCTGGAGGTGCCTTTGATGAGGCTGGGCCTGGGCCTCACCCTGAAGGTGGCCTGGGACTCACTGGGAATCCCCTTTCTAGTGTCGGATGCCAGAAGGAAGAGGGGCAAGGCTGGGCTTCCTGGGAAGGCAGAGTGGGTGGAAGCAGGAACTGGGCAGAGCAGAAGCTGCCCTGAGGTTCAGCAGGAAGCACAGAAGCCCCGAATGACTGGACCTTCTGTAGGGGAATCTTCAGGCCCTGGTCCGTCTTAGCTAAGGTGGCCAGATGTCCCGCCTTTTGGCGGGACAGTCCCGATTTTAAACAATTTGTCCTGCGTCCTGTGGCGTTTTTAAAAAGATTCTTTCCAAAAACTGGGACTTTTAAAAAATGCCGCAGGACTTGGGACAAATTGTTAAAAATCGGGACTGTCCAGCCAAAAGCGGGACGTCTGGTCACCTTAGTCTTAGCCGAAAGGTGTGTCCTTCCCAAGTGTTGGGACCTGGACATAGTGGGTTCAGGGCCTTGTTTGCCTGTGGGAGAAGCAGAGCCTGTCCACGTACATCTGCAGTGGCACTGGCACCTTCTATGAAGGATGAGGCTGAGGCTCCACGCAGGAAGCTAGGTGGCAGTGGGTGGGGTAAGGATGGGGGGTAGGGGGAAGTTGGAGCGGCTGCTATCAGAGGACTCATTCTCTTTATAGTCGCTTCCTGGTAGAGAAGCGGGCGGTAGGATTTAAGGAGCAGCAGGTGGGCCATCTTGCCTCACAATGGCTCTTTGCTGCTCCCAGGGCTGGCTGACTCCGGTTCCTCCAACCAGAGACACATCTCAATTACCAAGGAAAAGCCCGCAGAGAAGATGAAGAGAGTGGGGACTAGTCACTCACCCCTTAGAATAAATTTGTTTTCAGAAAGGTTTTACTTTTACCTAGCTGACATCAAATCCCGAGGAGGATGGAACTTTGTGTGTGAAGCATAAAGCCCCGGAGGGCAAGGCAGGAGCAGGCAGCATTTGCTCAGCCAGTGGAGAGCGTGAGGACAATGGGAAACCTAGTCAGCCGTGGGAGAGAAGGCTCCAGAACACGGGAGCGAGTGTGGAAAGGGAGACAGGAGAGAGGTGTGTCAAAGCTTTGCCCAGAACCACCTTGGCCAGTTTAGCTCAGTGGATAGAGCATTGGCGTGCAGACTCAAGGGTTCCGGGTTTGATTCCGGTCAAGGGCATGTACCTTGGTTGTGGGCACATCCCCAGTAAGGGGTGTTCAGTAGGCAGCTGATTGATGTTTCTCTCTCACTGATGTTTCTAACACTCTATCCCTCTCCCTGCCTCTCTGTAAAAAAATCAATTATATATATACATATACACACACACATATATATATATGTATATGTATATGTATATGTATATGTATATGTATATGTATATGTATATATATATATGTATATATATTTGATTTTTATATTGATTATATATATATATATATATGGCTTTGCCCAGAATAAGTTTCTTCCCTCTCCTCCCCTTTTCTAAAAGACCATAGACAGAACCTTGTCAGCCAAGTGTACGTGTCATTTATCCTGACGTCCAAGCCCTGTCCTGGGAGACTGGGTGAGCCAGGGACAGGACAAGCTGGATGTGTGTCCGGACCTGAGCCTTTATTCAGACCCCTGTCCTGGGAATCAGCAGTCAGGCTGCGGCCTCGGCTTTCTCCTCGGGGGTACAGCAGAGGCTGCCCTCTGCTCCTCTCTTGTCTCTCCCTGGCCCAGGGCTCAGCCTAAGGCACAGGAACCTGGTCGGGGCATGGTATTGGGGCACTCCTTGTGACGGAGTGGCTGGGAATAGGACCTTAAAGTGACAGGCATCTTTTCTTCCTTGGAAACAAGTTAGTAGCTGGAGTCAGAGATGTTTCCAACCGCAGGAGGCAGAGGAATTGAGGAGCAGCGGCTCCATGGCCACTTCTGGGCCTAAGTGCAGCGAGAGCAAACAGTAAAGGTAAACGTAGAAGTTCTAACCATTGGACTGCACAGCAGGGTTACTGGTGTCCAACAGGAAACCCGCCCTTATTGAGTCCTCATCGCCTAAACTTCAGTTCCCAGGAATAACAACAAAAGAAAATGAACGCATGTAAAAGCCCTCTTTTTTTATAAGACAGATGTTGAATTACATGAGCTTCCTTCAGGGCCAGAAATAATTCAGAAGAAAAATATTTTGACAGTAAACACAAATCACCATAAATCCCCTATCTAACAGCTGGCTTGCTTCTCTATTTGAAAGGTGTTTCCATATAAAACAGGCCTCCACTTTGTCCCAGGAAGTCTACATACTTTTAATAATGGAAGATTGAGGCTACTAAACATACACCACTCTACAATGTCCGAGAGGAAGTCTCAGCCATTGCTAACTCAGGATTGAGCGTGGTCCTGGGGAGTAAAAGGGTCCCAAGCTAGCATTAAAAGGATCACTCAGGTCTCCACAGAAATAAAGGCAAAATATATATTTCGGCACTTTTTCCTTAACATGGACAACACTGAGATGTTCTTTCACATGGACAACACTGAGATGAATGAAAGTATTTGAAGGGGTCTTGTAGAAAGCAGGGAGAAATACAGGCAGATTTGCTGTCTACACACGGACTTGGCTGGCTGGGATAGCACAGGTTCCTGTGAATGTCTTTACACCCCCAAATGAAAACTAAACAGGGATGAGAGACATTATTACCTACTTTCCAAATCCTCCCTCTCTTTCAGTCCATAAAAATGTTGCAGAATCCTAGGGTGAAAATGCAGGTGGAAAGAATTCCAGGAGCCAGAGAGCCTAAAGGACTCCGTACCCACTGACTCAGCAGCTTGAGGGAGAACACAGGTTCCTGTGGGCACACATGGAATATTAGGAGAGAGTACAGTTCCAGCACCGAATCCAGAGTCCGTGGGAGAGGTGGGACTGTGGTGACACTGTATTCTTAATATTCAATCCTGCTCCAGTAGAACATGGTACCCAGAAGAACCCAAAACTAGAATATAAAAGACAGGGGAAAAAAAAAATAGGGAATTAGTTTAGGAACATGTCATACTTGGGGAAAAGTGATGTTAGGTTCATTCAAGTTTTGACACTAGATTTTTAAGGGTAATCTTCCCTTAAGCAATGCCAGTCATTTCTATGTCAAAATAGCCCCCCTGGGAAATTCTTCCTTTTTCCTATCAGGGCTCATTACCCTCCAGTGCAGTGATTCTCAACCTTTCTAATGCCTCGACCCTTTAATACGGTTCCTCATGTTGTGGTGACCCCCAACCATAAAATTATTTTCGTTGCTACTTCATAACTGTAATTTTGCTACTGTTACGAATCATAACATAAACATCTGTGTTTTCCGATGGTCTTAGGCGACCCTGCTAGCAGTTCTCAACCTGTTGGTTGAGACACCTGGGTTCATAACTGTAGCAAATTTACAGTTATGAAGCAGCGATGAACATAATTTTATGGTTGGGGGTCACCACAACATGAGGAACCGTATTAAAGGGTCGCGGCATTAGAAAGGTTGAGAACCACTGTTCTAGTGGATTCCTATGTCTAGTCTGTATCATGTTTGGAATATGAGTTTCTTGCTTCTAATATGAACTTCTCTTTCCAGGGAGCTCTTTCTTTCCCCTCAAAAATGCTTGTGTCCTGGAAGAGCTGTCCCCCGAAGAACTCAAGAATTTGCCTCAGATAAGGGGGTAGGCTATCTGGGTCCTGTGGCAGACCTGCCACTCACTCCCTGCATCTGTAAAGTAATCTGAGAACATCTTCACCAATCCCAGAGTGAGAAGGTTAAATGAGAAAGGAAGTAATAATAATAGTGCTTAATGTTTATTGATAACTTACTATACACCAGGCACCATTCTAGTTGCTACACATGTCACTCAATTCAGTGCTTCCAAAACCATAGGAAGAAACTGAGGCAAAGAGAAGTTAAGTAACTTGTACTCGAGGTGGTAGAACTAGTAGGCGGTGAAGCTGGGCGTCAAGCCCAGGCAGTCAGCCTCTGGGTTTGTCTGTGGAACCCCTGTGGGAGGGCCTCCGGAAGGAGCCAAGCACCGGACGTGCCCAGGAGCACTTCTTAAGCTCCATTCTTAAGAACGCTGCTGACTCTCTCTATTCCTTGTCAGCTAGGAGTCTGGCTGCCTACCTAGCTACTGTTGTGGGGATGTGACATGATGCCTTGTCTCTAGCAGGCCTTCAATAGATCTAGTTCCCTTTCTTATTTTGAATGTCTAGGGGACTTCCACAATCCAGAGTCCCGTCCACTTGATGACTGCAGAAATATCAAAGGTTTCAACTGGACTGGAGTTCTAAGATCCTCAAAAGCCTTTAAACGTCAGCCCATATAGTTCCTGCTAACATGGCATAGTAGAAACTTCACTGTTATAATTTTTCATTCATTCAAAGGGTTTCCAAGCACTTACTGTAGGCCCTGCTAGGAACTGGGGTACACAAAGCAGCTGGTTGCTAGATTTTGGGCAGAGACAAACACCTCAAAGAGGATCAGTTCTGAGCTAGCAGTGTGTGCGGGGTGCCTGAGGGATCACAGACTTCTCCAAAGAGGTGCTTTTCTCCCCCTTCCTACCTCACCCAGTTTCCCATCCCCAAACCCAACATTTTTTAAAGTGTGGTGCACAACACCTGAATGGGCCGGTTTAGGGGTCCTCGAAGCAAAAATATTTGCATAACAGTATTAATAATGTATTTTTACTGTTTTCACATTTAAATGGATGGTGCAGAGGCAGTGGAAGGTAAAACTACTGGCATCTTAGCAAAATTCAAGGCAGAGGCACTAAACGGTATTATTTGAAATTGCATTCTTACTGCTCTGCACTTGCAGAAAAAAAACAAAAACCAGTTTTGCTGAGAATATTACAGTTGTTCCCCTTCCCCCCTGACCCAGTTCCCACCCCACCCCAAGCCTTTACCACCCCATTATCTGTATCCATGTGCAATGCATATATGTATACTATAATACTCTCAACAATAAAGATTTTTTTTTAATTGCTAGTTTTACTTGAGATTGTCCTTGACAGAGAAGTAAAAATTACTAATTTTATTAAATGTTCATCTTTGAGTACACATCTTTTTAACATTCTATAGGACAAGAAGGAAGCATGCATAAAGCAATTTTGTTGCAAGCTGAAATACAATGGTTGTCTTGAGGAAAAGCTCTTAGGCGATTGTTTGAGTTGTGCACTGAATTGGTTATTTTTCATGGAACACCATTTTTACTTGAAAAAATGACTAACAGAAAAGCTTTGGTTGTTCAGAGTTGGGTGTCTGTCACTTTGAGAAAACTGACAATATTTGTTGAGAGTGATACATTTGAGCTTTCCAACAAAAATTATAAAACTTGTATTTGTCCCCACATGCTTGACAGCATCCCAATGCTTAAGTTCTTTTCTAAAGTGGCAATGTCAGTGAATGCGATTTCTTAGTATCGCAGAAAGAAATTGACCAACATTTGGAAGATCTACATAACACTAAGAACCAGTATTTTCAAAGATAATCAATGTTATAGAATCATGCACGGGCAAAAAGATTTATGCCAAAAGCAAGCCAAGCCAACGCAATGTATCCTAATGGAACAGAGTCTGAAAAGTTTGTTGACATAGTATTAGATTCCATATGACAACTAACCCTCACAATACCACTTTTCAGGTTTTGGGTAATACCAAGGAAAACTCACATTTATCTTTAGGTAAGGCTATTGAAACATTCTGTTGTTGTTTTTTTCCAACCACATATCAGTGTGCGGAATTTCAAATCCTTCAACCTAAGCAACATATTATAACGAATGGACTGAAAAACAAATGTGAGAATCCAGCTGTCTGCTATTAAGCCACACACTGAAGAGGCTTTAAAAAAAATGTAAAACAATGCCACTTTATCACTACTTAGTTGTTTAGGAAAAACAGTCATTTCTCCCACAGAAAAGTGTGTTGTTAATGCTAATATACATTTTGACATTTCTGTGTTACTCTCCAATAGTGTGAAAATCCATAGAGATAGCCCCACAGACAAAAGCTCTTGGGAAACCTCAATAACTTGAGAGAGTAAAGGGGTCCTGACACCAAAACTCTAAGTCTGCTTCCCTAATGCAATGACTCTTTATCTTGACAGCAAATTAGAATCATCTAGAAAAAAAAAAAAATCCTGGATCCTACACCTAGATCAACTGAATTGGCATCTCAGAAGTTCAGGTCCTGGCATGCTTTGGGTTTTCAAGCTCCCCCAAGAAGGTTTTTATGCGCAGCCAGGGCTGAGAGCCTCTGCTCTGCCCTCTTGCTGTCTGTGCATCTAATAAGTCGGGCAGTGGGACAGGTGAGACTGCCCGAGGCAGCTCTTTGGGCGGAGCTAGGCAGGTCAGTGTCTGGCGGGAGCCATCTAGATAGATAGCAATCTTTGATACCTCAGCATAATGAGCTAATGAGATCTGAGACCTGGAGGAGCAGGCAATCACTCTGAAGGATCTGGTTAACAGGGCACATCTTTTTCCTGAAAGGCAGGTAACTCCCACCTCTTAAGGGACGCTGCTGTCCTTGCTCAGGTGCCAGCAGTTTCCTGACTAGCTCTCGGGTCCAAGGTTTGGTTTCCAGATAGTCTAGTGAGGTTGGGCTAACGAAGGGCAATCTCAAAGTTTCTCCTTATCACCGTCCTCTCAGAAATAAAGCATGTGCCAGGAAATACTCACAGTCCAGCAGAGAATGGCAAATCCAAACCAGGCAACCCCCCAGGCATGTCGGTTCATTGGTCCAGAGATTAGTTCATAGCAGCCCTGGAGGAGCGGGCAATTCCACATCGGAGTGAGAGGAGCCAGAAAACAAAAAGATGTAAGAGATGGGTGAGGCAGTGACTGTTATGTGAATCAAAGTCCCGTTTAACATGACCAAGCTATTTCCACACCCCATGGACAGCCAGTTATTAATAGTACTTTGCCTGGGAAATCCTATATAATAAAAGGCTAATATGCAAATTGTGTCATCTACCAGGAGTTCAACCAGCAGGCAGGCTGGCCAACCACCCATGTACCCTCCTGCCTGGCCACCCATGCACGAATCTATATCTATATCTATATCTGTATCTATATCTATATCTATATCTATATCTATATCTATATCTATATCTATATCTATATCCTCAGTGGCCAGATTATTATGCAATCAGAGATCACAATAATCTGGCCACTCAGTGTGTGTGTGTGTATATATATATATATATATATATATATATATAGATAGATAGATTCGTGTAAACTAAGGCCCGGTACATGACATTTGTGCACTTGGAGGGTGGGGAGTGTCCTTCAGGCTGGCCTGCACCCTTTAGCAGTCTGGGAGTCCCCAGGGAATGTCCAACTGGTGGATATCCTTAGTGCTGCCGTGGAAGCGGGAGAGGTTCCCACCACCGCTGCTGCACTCACCAGTCTTCAGTCCAACTTCTGGCTGAACTGGGCTCCCGCTATGGGACTGCACTGACCACCAGGGGGCTCCTGTGTTGAGCATTTGCCCCTGGTGGTCAGTGCACGTCATAGCAACCAGTCGTTCCACCATTGGATTGTTCCACTGTTCGATTTGCATATTACCTTATCATTATATAGGATATAAAAGCCTAAGCAACTGTTAAGACCAGTGGACTGAATGACTGGTCAACGGGTCGCTGTGATGCGCTCTGACCACCAGTGGGCAGATGCTCAATGCAGGAGCTCCCTTCTGGTGGTCAGTGTGCTCCCACAGCCAACCTCCCATGGCCAGCCAACCTCCCGTGGTCCTTCCCCCTGGTGGGCTGGCCCAGATTGGCCCAGATCAGGGCTGGATGAGACACCCTGATCATCCCTGATCACCAGCCAGGCCGAGGGACCCCACCCGTGCATGAATTCATGCACCAGGCCTCTAGTAGAAAATAATCCTGTTGAACAACTCCTCTATATCACATTTACTTGTGTCTTTATTATTCAATCTAAGCAGCAAAGGTTTATGTTATTTTTCTGTAATTACCTCTGATTAAAGCATTTTTTTTAAAGTGTGGCTATTTTCTTTTCTGTTTTTAATTTTTCCTTTATTGATTTTTCAAAAGAGAGAATGTGAGAGGAATAAAAAGACAGAATCATTAATGAAAGAGAAACATCATCTATCAGCTGCCTCCTGAATGCCCCCCAGTGGGGATCAAACCTGTGCAATCCAGGCATGCATCCTGACTGGAAATCAAACCTATGACCTTTTGGTTCATGGGTTGACACTCAACTGCTGAGCCACACCAGCTGGGCTGTTATTTTAGCTTAACATCCCCCCCCTCCCCCATATTGAATATGTGTGTAATGTAAAGGAAATCTTAATGAAATTTGAATTTTTTCCTTTCCAAAAGATTTTATTATTGATTTGTTCAAGGGCAGAGTTGCTTTTTGATTTGTTTGTTTTTAAATAAGAGTGCTCTGTTCTTTAAAAATCAGAGGTGGTTATTGTCTTAATCATGAAAGGGACCCCTATATCATGCTTTCTAAATTTTCATTTATCATCATATTTCAACATATATTTATGTGAGACCTTGAAGAGGCTGGGTGTGCATGCAAAAGCATGATTCATTTTTTTATTAATCAAATTATTTATTCATGCATGCCATAATCCAGTAAGTTTTCACATATGGCACACTCTGTTCTAGTCACTATACAAAGTGCTGGAGTGATACACACTTGTAGGGTTAAACCTGCTCTCTGACTGCCCTCCACTAAGCCCTGGGGATGTTCTTTGTTTAATGCAAAAAACAGCTGGTTCCCTGAACCACAGTTTCACTGGAAAATGTCCTCGAATGGCTGACCTTGAAGTTTAGGCTCCCCCTAGAGGCTACAGGTGGCCACTTGAGATTCTGTCCTTTCTGCCCCTGCCCCAGTCCCTTGTTAATCCATTGGCATGCCCTGCCTTTGCTATGCCTTGATTTCTCCCCAATTTATTCTTCTCCATCTATGTCATAGGTACCTCCAGTCATCTAAATGCTCAAATGAAAACTCTTGAAATTACCCTTAACTATTTTTCTCTTATTTGACTTCAAATATCTCAAATCCAGACACTTAGTACTTCCTGCTACCAGCTTGGTCCTCACTCCAGGATCACTACAATAGCCTTCTAACTGGTCTCCGTGGGGACTGAGTTCACCCTTGGCACTCTACTAGTCTTTACAGTTGCCAGAGGGATCCTTGTAAAACATGAGCCAGATCACTTTGCAAAGCAGCTCAAAACCCTCCAATGGCTTCCCATCACCCTTCAAGTGAAATCCTAAGCCCTTACAATGGCCCACAGGTACTGGATGATATGGCCCTTCCATGTTGTAGAATCTCTAGAATCCAGAAGCTGGGGGAACAGAGAAAGAAACCAGTTTCACTGCCAGAAGCTATCTTACTGCAAAGCTAGTGAGTTTGAGCTGCAGGGCTGCTCATTTGCAAGACACTTTCAAAGCCCTGCACCTGAGTGCATTTTTTTTTTTTTGGTTGTTCATTCTCATGGAGGGTATTTCTTTCTTTCTTTCTTTCTTTCTTTCTTTCTTTCTTTCTTTCTTTCTTTCTTTTTAGAAAGAGAGAGAGTGGAGGGGGAGAGACACATAGAGGGAAATATCAATGTGAAAGAAACACATCGATCAGTTTGCCTTCTGCACAGGGATCAAGCCTGCAACTGAGGTATGTACTCTTTATTAGATTTGAACCTGGGATCTTTTAGTCTGTGGGCCGATGCTCTATCTTCTGAGCAAAACTGGCTAGGGCTGTGCATGTTTTAATTGTTTTGCCTAAGGAGGACCATGCTCTACAAATTTTATAAGCTTCAGTCCTCACAAAACCTTGATCCATCCTTGCCTTCCACTCTTCCTTCGCTCATTCTGGCTATACTGATGTCCCTCCAAAAAGTGAAGAATGCTCTTCCTTTAGGATCTTTGCACTTGCTGCCTCCTTTGTTTAGAACCCTCTTCCCCAATCTCCTTTAAGCGAGGGTCTCATTTCCTTACTTAATTCAGAACTATGTGCAAATATCATCTCAAGTAATGATTACAAAAATATCATATCTGACACAGCTGATAATTCACAAACACTCCCATATTTATTGTTCACTTGATCATCCTGACAATCCTGGGAGTGGTCATTTGTCCAATAGTCTCTATGAGGCTATGGGATGGGCACTCATCTGTGACAAGACAGAAATGGGTCTTTCTCTCATGGAGCTCACAAACAAAAACCCAGTTTTTCCACCTCTTCTCATTTAGTGCCTTTTCATCATCACTGTGGTGTGTAACTGGACCTTTCTTAGCTCCATCCATCATAACGTTCTCGAGTGTAATGATTTAAACTTGCCTACTTGCATTTCTGGGGCAGATGGACCATTATTCAAGAATAAGCATATCTGCATCTGACATGCTATGTAAAATTCTGGTTCATTTCTATTCTTACCACATTTATGATGACTTCTCTAATCTTGTTAGCATTCACTTGTACAATGTAGAAGAAAATGACAACATGGATGTTGAAAACAGAACCATTCATATCTTAATTTGCCCACCAACCAAATATTTATCAATGCCTGCTTTGTGTCAGGCATTATGCTAAGTAGTGAAGATACAGAACTAACTAGAGGCCAGTGCACAAAATTCATCCATGGGGGGGGGGGGAGGTGTCCCTCAGTGCAGCCTGGACCCTCTCCAATCTGGGATTCCTCTCACAATCCAGGACTGCTGGCTCCTAACCGCTCGCCTGCCAGCCAGCCTGATCACTCTCTAATCACTCCCCTGCCAGCCTGATTGACCTAACTGCTCTCCTGATGGCCCAATTGCCCCCAACTGCCCTCCCTTACCAGCTTGGTTGCCCCTAACCTCCCCTGCTAGCCTGGTTGCCCCCAATTGCCTTCCCCTGCCAGCCATCTTGTGTCCATATGGGGGTGGCCATCTTAGATGTTGGAGTGATGGTCAATTTGCATATTACTATTTTATTAGATAGGATAATGCATGGCCCTCAAAGGAGACTAATAGAAAAAACTAATAGGAATAAGTATTTATAATATAGTTCCAGGTGTCATCTGCAATAATAGAAGAGAGGTATATGAGGCACCAGGGTGGCCTATTTGTAAGAATCTGGGGAACAGGGATGGGGAGAATTAGAAAGGATTAATAGATAAGAGATTATGTTGAGGTTGAAGGATGAGCGAGACTGAGAAAGTAGGAACACAGGGGGTCAGGGTAGGAGAGAGGAATTTCAGGATTCAGGAATTTGGGGAGCAGGTTAAGTGATAAAGAGTTTGTAGTTGTGCAACTGGTGGGTATCAGAGGTGGAAGTGTCAAGGACAAGGTGAGGCCAAGGAACTGTAAGCATTTTCTGACTCCCAAAAGTGATAATTACATTGTGCATTATAATTATAGGCAATACATTTAATTTTTATGCAGTGTAACTATAACCGATTAAGACGATTCTAAAGAACTAAATGAGGATTGATTTGAATGACTCTGCAAAATAATCTGAACCATGTCCTTTTCTGATGGATTTGACCATTCCTAGGCCAGGCACCCTTCCGGGTGTGGCTGGATGGTCAGCAGGGCTGCCCTTCATGCTGGAAGTGCACTTTCTATTATTTATTCCAAGACTAAAGAGTTGGGCACTTCTCAGTTATTTAACAGACTGGCACACAACTAGCTTTCCTCCAAGTGGTTACTTGCAAAGCAGTGCACGTCATCCCCGAGGCTGGCTGTACAAGTGTGAGCATTCTCTTCAGGGCTTCATGGGAATGTCTCCAAGTTCTCTCTTGGCTTGGAGTCTGGCTCTGGAGCCAGACTGCTCGCATTTGAATCCTGACTGGCATTCGCTACCTGTGTGGTTTTGGGCAAGGTATCCACTGGAATGTCTGTATTTCAGTTCGTCATTTATAAAATAGGAATCATACCTGTGGGCATTAAATGAATTAATATATGTATGGCACTTGGAACAGTGTCTGACATTCGATAAGTTACTCAGTAAATGTTAGTTTCCATCATTATTATATCATCCTCATTAGGCTGGAGACACCTTTTCAAAAACCATCTGTATGTAAATTACCTTCTACCCAAATCATTATTCTAACGTTTTATTAAGATTATCCTGTATGATTACTGAATAAGGAATGTGGATACATAATTACGGCATTTACCCTCAGCAATTTTCATTGCTTTGGAACTGGCAGATCATTCCTTCCAATTTACATTTTGCAAAACTAGAGCAAATCTTTGCTTAATGTAAACAGTTTTTGAGACACCACTTCTATACATTGTACGAATCGTTTTTCCTTTAAACACAGTTGGATTTTGCTATTGCAATTCTCACGTTCTGTTAATTTCATTAAAATGTGAAATTTCCCCCATCAGCTCTCGATCAGCATTCACATATTACTAAGAGAAGAAAATAGCATAAGGCTTAGGAAGAAGAATGCAAAATTCCTTACTGAGAGACGATTACCTACCGTAACCAGTATGTGGCTCATGAAGAGCAGAAGAAACTCCTGGCAGGCGTTGGGGGTAGGGGTGGGGCGGGGGACTCACCTGGCTGTGATAATAACCAGGCACGCCTAGTTTGCAGGCATCCACGTTGAGAGGTTCTTTCAGCTTGTTCATGACACAGCACTGGCGAGGCCAGGGATAGTCCGCATCGTTATTCTCCGTCCGGAAGGCAGATGTGTATTTCTGCCAGTCTGATGGGCCGTTCACACCACAGCAACCATCCTGTGGGCAGATGAGAGATACAAAATGCTCTTCCATGGTCCTTATTAGAGCCATCAATGCAGCAGCTGAGATTTATGGAGAATGAAGATATAAAAGTGTATCTAGTTTACATTTACTCAAAGTGCCCCAATGAGAGCTGAAGGTATCGATAACTTACATTTTAGAGTTTGTAAAGATATTTTTATATTTATTATTTTACTAGCCCTGAATGGGCTTTGTAACATTTGATAGGTCATTTGAACTCTCTGAACCTCAATTTCCTTCATTGTAAAATTGGGATAAATAAAGTACCTACCTCATAGAGCTGTCGTGAGAATTAAATTAGTTAATACACTTAACGTGTTTAGTACTCTCCTTGGCCCATAGTAAACCCTCAATAAATATTAATACTTAAGAAATACAATACTAATATATATATATATATATATATATACACACATATGAGCATAACTAGGCTCATATTACATATGAAAAAATTGAAAATCAGGAAATTAAAATTTCTAGTGGGAAGAAATTATGACTAATTCTTTTTGTTTTACTTTTCTGTATTTTTAACATTTTTTTCTGCAGTAAATATGCATTACTTTTATAATGGGATAAAATAAACTGAAAAAAATAATCTAAGCCTGTGACACACAGCTGTGCCCCTACATAGGGAAGATCTATTAACACATAGCTAACTTCCTTACACTCTGGACAGAATTGAGGATGGAGGATAAAACACAACTGATATCACTTTTCTTCCATTTTATAAATTCTGCTAGAATACTTCAAGGGAAGAAATGAAACCTATGGGCATTTCTTAAGTTTTACAATAAATATATTCGAGCAAACTTGATGGTAAATCAACTACCTTTAAAGCATGTCCCTTTTTGCCAGTGGAGAGTGAGAGAATTCAAAGAAGAAGTGGAGGCCATGAGGGAGTTTACTGATGACAGACTGAAATGTCGGTGTTGGGGTGGTATCAGGGGTGGGGGTTTGGGAGCAGTGTGAGAGTTGGGCTATATAGGGGAGAAGAATTTGTATCCGAACAGCAATGGAGAGGTGGCAATATTTTGAAATACTTGGATTTTTATGACATTTGAGGTAAACTTGGATAGGAAGTAGAAACAACTGGGTGATCAAGTCAAGTCATGACCCTTGGTCCTTAGGAGGACTGGACCATGGAGGTGTGAGAAGGCACTAACTAAGCAAATGGACAGTGACTGCACTTGAGTTCACTGTGAGGCAGAGGAGGCAACTTTTCATTTTAATGTGAGTGATGCCTCAATTTTAAGAGGCAAAGTGTGTGATTAATCTAAATTTTTTGACCATGTCATTATCTCTATCCATTGCAAGCTAATCAACATCATGGCTTGAAATAAATATAGATCCAGGGATCCCTCTGAGTCATGTGTACACCTCCTGTCCCCTGCTGGTAAATAAGAGCATCATCTGCACTTGCCTAGGTCAAGTCCCTTTGTGAAGGAAATCCCCTTAGCAGCTGTCGTCCTCACCCTTTGACTTCACTCCCAACCACACAAACACTTTTGGGGATTTTTCTAGGCACAAAATGGCATCTTCCCATGATCACAGCTATTACCTGGAGCATAAGCCTGTCCCAGGTTCGGGTGACTCCTTTGTTTTTCCACTGGTCATCGTTGTTTGGAGGGCTGTTGTTTTGGTACCTCTCCAGCATCTGCTTCAGGAAGAGGTTTGGTGTGAACTACAGAGGGAAGAGGCAATACAAGAGAGAGTTCGTTAGCACAATTACTCCCAAGAAGGCAAAGTGATTTGCTCGGCACATTGCTGTGGGCACTGAACACTGTTTCCTGGAGTAAATATTGTGCTCAGAGGCACTGACTAGGGTCAGGGGTGAGTATGAGGCTGCTCTGGGTGGCTTGGCTGAAGTCCCCATGTAGGGAGAAATCCCCATCTTCAAAGAAATCCCCGGGAGACTGGGTGGACAGGCATTGCAGGGTGGCTCAGGCTAGAGATTGGAGAAAAGAAAAGAAAGCAGGATGCTGAATTGAGAGGAAGTTTTAGACGTGGTGATTGGTGATTGTCCTGTTGGTGAGCAGTGGCCCTGGCACAGTGGTGAAGAGTATGGGGTTACAAGCTTGGACCTGGGAGTCACACTGTCTGGATTCAGGATTCCCACCTGTGTAACCTTGGAAAGTTATTTTACCTTGTTAGGTCTCATTTTTTCCATCTATAATTGACAATAGTGATAATACACATTTAATAGGGTTCTTATTTGGATTAAGTAAAATTGTTTATTTACTAGAGGCCTGGTGCATGAATTCATGCACTGGAGGGGTCCAGCAGGCCCACCCAGCTGGGGTGAGAGGCCATGAGTGTTTCGGTCATTTTACTATTTGGTCAATTTGCATATTACCCTTTTATTATATAGGATTTTTAATGTGCATGCTAGAGTGCCTGGTGTGGAGTAAGAGCTTAATACATATTAATTATTATCTTATTATAATAATGATGATCTGTATCTATGCTCTTGGGATTTACTCACAAAGTCGCGTTGTGTTGCTGCTGTGATACAAGATGCCACTTCAAAGCCATAGACGATAAACATCATAATGAAATACTGGGAGGAAAGAAAAAAAAAAAGAGAGAGTTACATTTACTTTCAAGGGAAGATTTTTTTAAAACAAATAATTGCTGTTTTTTTTCAGTACAGAAGTGAGCAAAAGTAGGTCGACCATAATAAGAAATAATACAAGAATAACCCAACTGTTAGCCTACTTTTAGCCACCCCTGTATAGTCATATAAATATAATCATCCAATTATTTATTTATTAATTTTTTAAAAAATTTTGTTTTTATTGATTTCAGAGAGGAAAGGAGAGGGGGGAGAAAGATTGAGAAACATCAGTGATGCCTCGTACATGCCCCCTCTTGGGGACTGAGCCTGAGACCCAGGCATGTGCCCTGTCCTGGAATTGAGCTGTGACCTCTGGGTTCATAGATTGATGCTCAGCCACTGAGCCACACCGGTCAGGCGTTCATCCAATTATTCACATGGTTATTCAACACACTCTGTGATCAGCTGCTTGGAGTAAGACGTGGTGCTAATCAGCTCAATCCTCTCCTTTTCCTCAGAGAACCAATGCTCACTGAATATAGAGCTTTCTCAGCCGAATCTCCTGCATTTCTATTTTAACTGAGGAAAACAAAAATAAGAGAATGAACTGATGTGTGTACGTGTGTGTGCGTGTGTGTGTGTGTGCGCATGCGTGTTTATGTGTGTGTATGTCACCCTCACACCACACTGCCTCTATTTAGGTCTGGAAAATACCTGAACAACAAACGACCTCTGAATCTGGGATGGTGACTATTTGCAAGAGTTCTGTGTCTGCTTTCCTCAGCCCTGCACACACACTTTTAGACCTTGTGTTCTTCTGGGAAGGGTACCTAGGTCAGTGCTGGTGGGAGAGCGCAGGGAAACCTGTTCTTCCCCTGAGCACCAGGCCCGGAAGAAAGCTTTGGCTGGGGGTAAACAGCAGGGGCACCTCCAGAGGCCTCACAGCATTTTCCTCCCTGTGTTAGCTGCTGCCTTGCTCTTTGTCAAGAGCTTGGCTGGCTTCTGTGAAAGAAGCTCAGGAACCCTTTGAGACTCTCTGGGAAGGAGGTACAGTGTGCACATGTTTTCTATGTCAGCCCCTAGTAGGGCGTCCTTGTCCTTCTCCTCTTTGGGGGCATGGTGAAGAGTGTTCTCTCCCCGCTCAGTTCTTCTGGCCGCATCAGGCACACATGACTGGCCCACAGTGAGACTGAGATGCAGCTGAAGCATATCTCTAGGGACATCTGTCCCTCTCCTATCTTTCGCTGCATTCCTTTCCCCACCCTCCAAAAGTGGAGGTTTTTGCCTGGAACTAACTCACACTAGGGAACTAGAGAATGTAAATGGTCTGCATTCCCTGGGTGCCAGGACAAGGTCAGAGCACAGGAAGAATGAACCAATAAGCATCTAAGTTGCAGGACTGGTTCATAAACATGGAACTCAGGTCCGGCAGCCTTAGGGTAGGAGAGTTGTTTCCGGTTGGGGCGTTGGGGGTGGACCCCATCACAGTGTGCAAAACTATTGTCTTGAGCCTGAGGGCAGAGAGTAAAGGTCTTGACCCAGGAGCCCAGGGTTCTTAAATCTTCCAATTTTTGCAAGATATCTCAAATTTACTTTCTCAAGTCAGGACATGTGGTTTGGGGCCAAAGAGCATCTGTAGGTGCCCAGATCAGAGCCTCCACAAGTAGGTGGGAGCCGAGGCTGTACCCTAGGCTCTTCTGGGATCCCTGGAAAGCAGAGGGAATGTGAAACACTGTAAGTACAGGACAACACACAAAATCATTGGCCTTGAGCTAAAAAGTATCAGACAAGGCTTGTTTTCTCTGAAAAAATCTATGTATATTTTGGATTTTATATGTTAATCTTAAATCCTATATTTTGTATCCAAGTTTTAATACTAATACTATAGTAGTTAAGAGGAAAAAAAATCTAATTATGAAGTTCTCTGTCCTTTGGCCTATGAACTCTTGCCTGTACCAGTTGGGTGCATGCAGTTGGAGAAGCACAGGTCTGGAAAATATTCAACAAGGTCACCCTTGGGGGTCTTCTGCACTTGTGATAGCAGAAGGCATCCTTGGCCCCACTGGGTCATGCCTCACTGCAGGGAGAGTCTGCTCCTCCCTCTCCCATCTCACCTGGCACCCTCTTCTCCCATAACCCCATGAAAGCATTGTGCTCAGGGAAGAGGAAACAACCCATCAACATCGGTCCAGGAGTCAACTGTAAAGAGATTCAAGGTCTTACCGCTAGGAGAAGTTTCCTGCTAGACTTTGCGATGCCTACGATGCCCAGCACGGACAGGCAGAAGAGGCAGATGCCAACGAACATGCCGATCCAGGCTGCCCCGTAGATGTCATCGTTGTCAGTGGCTTCAAGCAGTGGGTAGAGGCTGTGTTGGTCGGATACAAAGAAGATGCACTCGGCGGTCAGTGCGATGCCACACATCTGGGGGCAGAGGGGCTTCTGTCAGGATGGTGGGAGAGCAGCATTGGGGAGGGATGGAGAAGTGGGGGTAGGAGGGAAGAGAGACTGATTCTATCCCCTACATAGGATTCAAACTCCTCGTGGTCAGGAAATCAAACAGCTCCTTCCAGCCTACTAATGGGTTGCATGCCTCCATCCATATGTTGCTCTCATTGCTATTTGGGAAAAGACCCAATTTCAGACCATTATTAAGTTTTGGGGGCATGGGCCACTCAAACAATGTCTTCTTGTATGACAGTAATGTCCCCGCTTCACACCTGCATCCAAATTCCTGGATTGTAATATTGTAACTGGTCCCAGTCATCTCAATCAGTGCCAGTGAACCACTGAATGTTAGAGCTGGAAGGACTTGGTGATTATCTTTCCCCACCTTCTGAGTCACACGGAGTAGGAAGCAGGGCTGGGCCCAGAGCCAGCGGTCCTGATTCCTCCCTGCTCGCCCACCACAGTGTGTCCCACAGCCTGGCCTCTGAGCTACTCTCACATCCCTCAGTGGCCTCTGTGTGATGAGAACAAGCAGACACAAACATTTGCCCCCAACAGTCTTAAAAGCAAATGAAGGTGAAATAGGAAAGAAACACCAGAGCAGGCATGTGGTGGGAGTGTTTGGACACCGGCCTTTTACATTCCTCTGCTTTAAACTTAAGGAAATATCTATTTTTTTCCAACCTATTCTTTTGATATATTACATAGCTATCTATAATTACTTATAAGTTAAATTTGAGCTAGTATATTTCACTAACACATTTCTTAAACTGAAGAAAAGAAGTATGGAGCCAGTAAGTATATCATCAGTTTCCTTTAAACTTTTACTTTTTAAAAAGATTTTTAAAAACCTAAGTTTTAGAGAAAGAGAGAGAGAGAGGTAGAGAAACACCAATGCGAGGAAAACATTGAGAGGCTGCCTCCTGTATGCCCCCCACTGGGGATTGAGCCCATAGTCCAGGCATGTGCCCTGACCAGGAATCAAATTGACAACCTTTTGGTGCATAGGACAACACCCAACTGAGCCACACCAGCCAGGGGAAAACTTTCCCCTTTAATTCAGCTAAAATCATGATTACAGAAAGAATAGAATTGCCTGAAAATATACTCGTTACTTACACCAAAAATCACATTTCCAAAAATCAGCAGGCCCTGAAAGCAACGAATGGTGGAGTCGTCTTTGGCCATCTTCAGGATTTCTCCCAAGCTGGAGACACAGTTGAGAAGATTACAACTTAATAGGCACAGGTGACAAATACCACCGCAAGTTTTATAACACGGCTAAGTCACACAGTGGTGTTTTCCCTTCTCATTTCAAAGCATCCAAACCAAAGTCATGACATCATTTAGCAATGGGGGAAATTTGGTCACTAACCTCAGTAATCACTGTAATTTTATAAAGAAAAAAAAGAGTCAAGCTTGCCAAAGTCTGATTAGTATTTTCAGGAGTTCTATGAGGAGTGGAATAACAGACTGCATACTTCTGAGTGATGAACTGAGGTCCCACAAGTCAGCAAAAGCAGGCCTGAGGTGGCGGTGACGGGATGGGGCAGAGGCTCACGGAGGGGCCTTGGGATGAAACCCAAAGGGCTGACCAGAGTTGGCATTTGGTTCCTGGGGGGACTTGAGGCAGTTGTTAAAAACCATTATTTTCAGAATATTTTGTTAGCTTCAAAAATAGTTGTCACTTGATCTTTGGATTTATGAGCTTGTTTCTGCCCCATTTTGTTGGTTCATTTGCTTTTTAGATTCCACATTCAGAGAACAAATTGTCGGTTGCTGAAGGGGAGGGGAGAAGTATATTATAGAAATGGGAGGAGATTAAGAAGGGTAAATTTCCATGTATTAAATAAGTCAGGGGGATGTAATGTACAGCATAGGGAATCGAGTTGATTCTATTGTAAAAACTTTGTACGGTAAGTGCTTACTGGAGTTCTTGTGGTGATCACGTCGTAAAGTATATAAATGTTGAATCACTATGCGGTACACCTCACACTAATATAATACTGAATGTCAATGAGAATTAAAAAAATAAATTCCTAAAACAGTAATTGTCAAATAAAAAAGTACATTGCTACCTTAGAGGAGGAGTAGGAGAAAAGAGGGACTAGCATGCTTAGTTCCTTCTACATGCTACTGCTCTGGGTACTGTGTGTACTGTCATCTAAGTCTCATAACCCAATTCAGTAGGAACAGGACAAAAGTGAAGAGGCTCATGTTGCAGATGAGAACATTAAAGCTCTAAGTTAGGTAAACTGAGTTCCTGGCATTATACAACTGGTAGGTGCAAGAGCGAGGCTGGAGATTTTGGTCTGTGTGACCCCAGAGCTCAGACTCAGTGCTTTGTATGGCCCTGAAAATGAGCGGGTTTCTCCCTCCCCTCTGACTCTCTGGAAGGAGTACAAGGGTAAGTGTTTGGCTATTGATCTGGAATCACCTTGAGAAGAGCCATCCACATCTTTCCATGTTTTAGTAATTAAATTAAGGAACCAACCACTTCATGCATTCATGCTTTAAATAAAATTGTATTAAATGATACAAGCTGTGTTTTGAGTATACACAGAAATAAAATGTCAGGGAGATAGTGGTAGTCTAGGATTTTATGCTCCAGTAGGGAAGCTGAGATATGTGTCTAAAGAGTCATAATACAGCTAGGAAAACCCTAAGTAGAGGTTCCTAGGAAGGGAGCTGTAAGCCTTGAAGAATATGTGCGGTTTTTGATCAGCAGACTAGTGGTGGGTGGGTGACATTTCAGGTAAAGGGAAGGTTGGGCACTAGAGCCCAGAAGAGCCAGGAGCCCCTGTGAGATTGCAATCTAGTCAGATTGGCTGAATCTCAGTTTGCATGGAGATCAGTGGGAGACAAGCCTTTTACGTGACTCAGCCCTTGGTAAATTTGAACTTCATCGTTACACTCTACTGTAAGCACCAGCAACCTCCCAAGTAATCTTAAACATCTCTAAATATTTTCCCTTTCCCGTTCACCTGAGTAGCTGTGAGAACTGAAGACTTGAAATTTATGTGTTTTTGGCTCAGAACTGGGCACACAGGGGGCCCTCCATCAATATGTGCAGAATAAGTAGGAGAAGCTGGCCATTGTTACAAGACACGTAGGTATAGTTCCTGCTTAGAAATGCTGCTCATGTATTTCTGCTTGGAAATGTCATTGCGTGCTTACAATGTCACTCATGCTTTCTGAGATTGTTACACGCTAGACTGAGAGGAGCCCGAGGGCCCGGAAGGAGTTAATGCTCAAACTGCACCGAGGGAAGCCTTGCTCATGGAGCGGGGTGGGTCGCATTGCTCACTGCTGGTATGCACAGACGTGGCTCCTGACCAGTTGGGTTACCATCTGAACTTGAGACGTAAGTAAACAGACCATAAAAGGTAGAAGTTCAGACAACACACGTATAGAGAGTAAAGGGCAAGATTCTGCAGAGGCCAAATCCAGCACCACTGCTGAGTAGGTACCCGTTTGCCAGGTGGCAGCCTATTTGTGGCGATTAGTTGGGCCAAAAGAACAGAAAATGCACAATTTGTTCTTTCAGCAAAGTGTGATTATAACAACACCATTCAATGTAAACAGGACTGCACACAGGGAATAAAGGGGGAACTCGGGCCGGGGAGAAAAGGAAGAAGGTCAGGGAAGGGCTTTTATTGGCCCAGAGAGGAGCTGGAGGGACCCTGAAAAGGGATTTGGCCCCCGTGAGCCACTAATGTCCCGTAATGCCCATGCTTTCTCAAAGGCGATTCTGCCACAGAGTTTTAAAAGGGGGAGAGACAACGGATACTCTGAGAAAACTGTAAGTCAGACTCAGGGTAGAAAAATGCAGATAAGAGAGGGAGAAGAGAAGGAAAGAGATAGGTGCTTTGTTTGAGTGAAAAGAAGAGTGAGTTGAGAAAATCCAGACAAGCTTGTGGTAGGAAATGCCAGGAGGCATGGCTGTGGGTGGATGTCTGTAAGGCAGGAGTGGGTCGATGCACAAGATATTCGGAAGTTGCAGATCACTAGATTTTTCTCCCTTTCTGCCATGCATCCTCTTCTCCTTCAGGCCCTTCGCATCAGCGGCACATGATAACTTAGAAAGTCACTCTTATTTTTTAAAGTAACAAAATGATGTTGAAAGCTCTCATTGAACAACCACATGCTCAGCACTTATGATCATCCTCTCAACAGACTTGAGAGCTGGTATTTTTTTTTTAAACCAAAATCTGTATTAGGTTCCTTTTGCTGCTGTAACAAATTACCATGAATTTAGTGGCTTACAGTGAAATATTACTCAGTCACAATAAAAGGTGAAATACTGTCATTTGCACCAACACGGATGGACCTTGGGAGTATTATGCTAAATGAAACAAGCCAGACAGAAAAAGCTAAGGACCACCTGATTTCACTCAGATGTGGAATATAAAACTGAAACTCATAGACACGACAACAATATGGTTGTTACCAGAGGGAAGGGGGGCGGGGGTAATAAAGGGGACCAAAAATATGGTGAAGGAAGAGGATTGGACTTAGGGTGGTGGGCACCCAATGCAATCAATATATAGATCATGTATCATAGAAATGTACACCTGAAACCTATCTGATTTTATTAACCAATGTTATCCCAATAAATTTAACTAAGAGAGAGAGAGAGAGAGTTAGAAGAAAGAAAAAGTAACCAACCCACACATAGTATTCTCTTAGGGTCCTGGAGTCAGAAGTGTGGAAAGAGTCTCGCTGGGTCAAAATCAAGGTGTGAGCAGACCTGCCCTACTTTTGGAAGGTCCAGGGGAGAACCTGCCTCTGTGCCATTTTGCAGATGAAGAAAAGGAGGCTTGAAGAGATCCCTTTGCTCACTCACCTACATTGCTAGAAAATGCAAAAGCTGCGATTCAAACCCAGGTCTGCCGGCTCCGGATCATTTCCTTAACATGTTGCAGCTTATAAAGTCCTGTCCCATAGCTAGTACTTTCAGCAGAAAAAGAAATACCTGGTCATTTCCTTGCCAACCCTGGGAACAGAGAGAGCAGACACATTTCCCCCCTCAGGCGATCCAGCCTCTGCAAAGGTCAGAACCACCAACCAGGCCTCTCTTCAGCCTTCCCCAGGATCTTGTCTCCTCAGCCCCTGATGCTCTACTAATGCTTGCACATTTGCCTCAAACCTACACATTTGTTTTTTTAGGAAATCTGTCTAGATGTATATCACCCCCCATCCCCTGGGACTGAAATCCTTGGATGTAAAAGGTACAAATGTACAGGTCAATGTGAGAGTCCACATTTCATGGCCTCTCCTTGGTCACCTATGCTTAGATGTGGTTAATGTCTAAGGAACATAAAACATTTGTTTCACCCTCCAAACAGCCACAGATGTCAAGAGGGAGGGTGGTTGGGGAGCCAGGTCTGGGCATCCGGTGGCTGGCTCACAGCTGTGGTGCTGGGCTCACGGCCGTGGTCCCGCGGTGAGCACACTGGACCCGGCCTCAGAACACCTGGATCAGGACCTCAGCCTGGCCCATCCTTACTGTGTGACCCTGGGCAATGCCCCTAGTGTCTACTTCTGCATTTATCAAATAGGTGAAACACACGTACTTGTGGAGATTGTGACCACTAAGATGAAAGATGCAGAACTGGTTGGCAACACTAAAATTATTTACAAGCGTAAGAAATTATGAATAATAATAACCAGGGGATATTTAAGGAGGGCCAGCAGTGACCCCTGGGTCCTAGGAGGGAAGTTCTGCAAAAATGGTCCTACCGCTAAGGGTTGGGGGGTAGTGTGGGCGGGAGAGTCTCTTTGGGAGAGAGAAAAAAAAGCTTCCCAGTTGTTTTTGGGTTGTGGATAGTCAGGTACCAGGCAGCACGTCCCGTCTGTATGGGAGAGGCCCTCTGCATTCCATCAGCATTACTGAGCGGGTAACACCCGCCATCCGGCCTCATCCCTCTGGCTTTGGCCAGGTGATGCAGAAATGAGGTTCTGTCTCTTCTGGACTGGGGCTGTTTTCTCCCTGACGCAGACATTCCTCAGGGAGGACCTTGTTCTGCTCCCTTGTCCCTTCTTTCCTCCTGGTATCAACCTAGGAAGGGCTTGTCCTGCATTTCACTGCAAGCGTCTCTAAAGCAGGAGAAGTGCTTGCAACATAGTAAGCACTGGATAAATTATTTTGCTAAAGGGCAGATAAAGTACATTTTTAAAAATGTGAATTTGGATGGGTGAATGAATATATGTGTGCAAACTTTGCCTAGATCCGTGGTCAGCAGACTGTGGCTTATAGCTCTTTGGCCCCTTGAGTGTGGCTCTTCCACAAAATACCATAACCTGGGCGAGTCTATTTTGAAGAAGTGGTGTCAGAAGAAGTTTAAGTTTAAAAAACTTGGCTCTCAAAAGAAATTTCAATCGTTGAACTGTTGATATTTGGCTCTGTTGACTAATGAGTTTCCCAGTCACTGGTTTAGATCTTTAGTGCAGAACTGGCTAGAGTATGGTGAGGTGGAAAGGACATGGGTTTTGGCAGACCGGAGTTTGAATCTCACCTCCACTCCTTAACAGTTTTGTGACCTAAGGTAGTTACTCAAATTGTTGGACTTTATTTCTAAATGGACATTGTAATACTTAACTAGAAGGGTTACTGTGAAAAT